TATAGTGCTTGGAATTTCTTGCTGCGTTTGCTGCAGTTTAACACTGAATGAGGTTCCCGTGCACCTGCAGTCACGCTCCTCTGTGTTACTCGTTCTAATGTTTTTGCATTAGCCCAAGCATTGATGGGCTCCAGTGATAGACTGATAGCGTCAACTGACAATTGTCAGCTTATTACAGCGATCTATTACCGGTATGAATGAATGCGGGCTGCTTGGTTATATCATTTAACACTGAATTAAGGGACAGCACCAGGGGACTTCAGGCACTATCACCACTTCAATTAGATGATGGGATAATAGTGCAAATAATGTCCCTTTAAAAAAATACAAATATTACTGTGAGAAACCCCCCAAATGTATTTTTGAAGCTGCGCCCACAACCACTGCAGCTGCCGTCTTTAAACACACAGGTAAAGCTTCACGTAATTGTATATTTTCTCTTGATCTATACATTTGTTGGTGAATTCTTTAGCACAGTATATAGGTTCATATCAATATGAGATTTGTTTGTATACAGGTTATCCAATTAGAAATATGAGAAATGTCTGTTTTCCTCAATGCTCTTAAAGAGCTACTAAAAACATATTTTTTTTCATTTAACCTTGGTGTTTTCAAAGGCCTTGCAGCTGTAAATCTCTGTTGCAAACTGTGTTTTCCAGATTTTTAATGACAAAAAAATACATTTTTTTTTCTGATATAAGTAAAAATTCTAAATAGTACAATTTGCTCAGAGCACAAAGTTTACAATATATATTGTATATAAATCCCTGAACAATGAACTGCAATTACAGTGTTTCATGTCCGAATCTCAGAAATAGTTTGCACATTGCGAGTCAGATTTGCAGCAGAGAGCTCTCTACTGTCAAAAACACCAATTACACCAGCTGCTTTTTTAAACCAAGGAATTATTAATCAAATGTTATAAGAATGACCGGTTTACATTACTTAAATTAATCAGTATTAATCTTGTTAATGCCATCTCTGAATGGCTTTGCTCACATGCCCCTTGGTGACTGGATGTTAAAGGTCAAATGCTTTATTTCCTGAATTAAGCAAAAAGTGGAATTTCTGTGTAATATCTGAGATCTTGTTCCTTTGTAACAGTTTAACGTGGTTTACCTCTTTTGTATAATGCTTTATGGAAATAAGGTAGTAAACTATTCTCACCTATCAAAGCAACCTTTTAAACACTTTATTTTTCTTCAGAAATGTTGTCAACAACCAGGAATTGATAGAGATTGCTTCGGGAGTAACCCTGACCTCTCATGGGGTCAACGCACCACAGGTTTGGATTAAAATTATATAGTTGCACAGGTATGCATACAGAGAGCTACTTGGCAAGTTTCATCAAAACATGAATGAACACAGCTTTCCAGAGCTTTCATTCTTTTTTACTTGTTGTCTTAACTTTTTTCAATAAATGTAACCACATAAGGGTTTCTAATTGTGCATGTGTGCAAAGCCGTGCAGTTCTACAAGCAAACATAATAGTAAGCAGTCTGTTTGCCCGTTTCACTGAGCAGTAACTTTTGGAATTGGTAGCTGTTTTATTGGATGCGAATTTAAAATTTTTGAAAAAAACCCAAAACAACGAATGCATTCGGTCGGCACTGGCATAAAATAAAAATACAAAAAGCACGGTGCTTTTTACATGATCCCTTGTGTGATGAGTTTGGTCCTAAGTGTCAGATTACGTAGAGTGGTAATTGAAAAGAAAGAGACGATATTGTGTGTAACTCTGTTTAAAAAAATAAATGTTTTCAGATTTTAGTAGCCAGGCCCTGCTTGTTTGAATATGGGTTAGCACACAAAAATATTGATTATTAAAAAATAAAATCCTACATTTATTTCAGATGAAGCGTTTAAAATACCCTTTTTTTTTTTTTTTGTTATTATTATTTTTTTTTTTACATGCAGACATGTTAAGTGTGATTTCTTCCAGTGTATATTGATTTTCAACAGCATTATAGCACACACATTGTATTGCTGGAGTTAATTTTGCGCGCATAGTGGGCACCAATGAAATAATTATCAGTTCCGCTACATTCCCTAAACACAGCAGTTTTCTCAAGTTTGTTGGGAGCTCAGGGTGATGTTTGGAAGAAGCACATTGTAGAGATTTATTTATTAAACATCGTGTTGTAGGGAATAAAAAAGTGAATATTTCAAAATGAGCCTTTTTTGGACTTTTTCTAAATCAGTACTTTTTCCTTAAATTGTCCAGCTTGATTTGAATCCTGCTAAGGTCACCTCACTAGTAAGAGTCACTGGGCAAGACACCATACACCATATAGCCACCTACCTCATTGACTGTAAGCTTGTTTGAGCAGTAACCCGCTGTGGAATATGGTGGCGCTATATAAACTCTACTAATACTATTTCGCAACAATTTGGCGTTTATTGCATAAACCCAATGGTTCCAAATTTTTGCTTGGCTGTAGAAGCTGTGAAGTCAGCCCTCAACACTATTTACACATGGCATTAACATGTGGTTTTACTTGCTTGTTATAAGGTGCCAATTTAAACTATTGCTGTGTCCACATAGTAAAATAAAAAGCTTCCCATCCGTAATGCTTGTCACTGATTCCACCTGGTGAGAAATTAATTTCTCCAATCACACTCTTTGCCTCATGCAGAGGGACACTATTTGACATTGCCTACTTTCTTAACATTATCAAATCACAAGAATTTCCCACTCAAAATTAAACAAATTAACCAGAGTGGTATGTCAGTTCAGGTAGTACCAGCACCACCTTGGGCTTAACCCTTATAATTAGATATACATTAACGATAAAGCATGATAATGTTTTCCCTTTATTGGGGCGCTTTGTTTTTATTGTATACTTCCTACACCTCACAGCACTGTACAGGAGCCTTTAAGCTTGTGAAAAAGGAAGGTTCTGGGCACATGCAAGGGCTTATGTGCAGGCTGCAATAACAGCCCTAAATGCTCTTTAATATACACGTACCATTTTTGGGGGGTGAGTGCTTTTTTTTTTTTTTTTTAAGATTGTACAATAGTAAACTGTGTAGCAAACAAAAACATTATGATCACGTAAGTACAAATTTTTTTTTTTAAATATTACACTTTGTGTCGCAGAACAGCAGTATACACATGAACAGTTTTTTGTCAAAACTGCATCTGACAGTAACTCATTCCATACTTCAATCTAATGGCACACATTATCATCAATGACCAGGTATTCTGAGATGTGTTTTTTTGTTTGTTTGTTTGTTTTTGGCTTTGTTTTGTTTTGTTGCAAAGTATTCAGTAGCCAAGAGGTTAAGAGCCAATCTATATGTTGTGCCAAAAGGATATCTACATAGTAATATCTCTATGAGACTCCTGGGATTTGTTAATGATTCTGTCTCTCGGGGTTTGTCAATGATTATACTGTTTATTTACACAATAGAATTACAAGCTGATGTTATGTATAAATTACTATTTTATTTTTAGTCGCACATGGCAGAGCGCTTAATAGCCATTCCTGGACTGGCTACTGCTTGAAGCAGCCCACCTACAGCCTCTTCTTTTTAACATGCCATTATTAGTGCTCCCTGTACCAATAGATCTGCAGATAACTTCCCCTTTCGGCTAATTGTTAACCCAAACATGTATGTACAGATTGATGTGGCAGTCTCGTTTGCTTTTACTAAATCTCTTGTTATTTCTAATCTGACATTGACAGACATTGTGATGAAGTACGTGGTCACCAGAGTACTATTTTATATATATATTTCACTGCCCAGAAAACCCAGTTTTCACTGATTTTGTGGTTTTTGTGTGTTGACATCAGTTATAAGACACAGATGACTTAATATTGGATAAACTTGCCATTCTAAACGTATTAGGAAAAGGAACAGCAAGCAATGGTGATATCACATAAAGAATACCCTGTTACAAGAGAGCACACTTGCATTATATTCTGGATATAACGTGCTTCTCGGGCAGAGTTTTGCATATTGTTCCTGTTAATTCCTATAGTATATTAGTGGCTCCTATGTGACGGAGGAATTGTTTCACTTGTTGTAGTCAGTGCTTCTTGTGAAACAGCGTCAGTGATGTGAAGTGGAGCTAATAAGTTAGGATATAATCAGTTAAACGGTTCTGCCAGGCACAGGAATTCTCAGTGGGTTACAGAGCACCTGTCATGTAAATTTGACATGGGTTTACAACAAGTAATAACATTTCATCTTTAGATAGTACTCGTCAATAACTTCTGCAAATTTATAGATGATATTTTATTTATAGAAGCATTCCGGAGTCTGCAAACGTATTAAAGTGTGTGTTAAAATACAGTTCTTGGCTTTAAATATGTGTTCAAAAAATTTCAGATCCTGTAGAAAACAGAAATAACTAGAAATATCCTTACATGTTAATAATGTCTCTCACTTAAAAGCAGAAGTTAAGGATCCTGGTTGCCATTTATATTTCCCACAGTTCTTTACTCTAAATCCCTACCATGCAAGTGGCATCTCATTCATTGAAAAATAATTGCACAAGGCTTTCTATTGAGATGCCACAGATGATTATATACTTTGGAGTGACCCATTAATATTGAAGTTTCTAGCTTATACCTATGCACCGATGGAATTGTTCAGGATTGCAAGCTGTGCAGTTATGTCCTTGTGTGCCCACATGTCACTCGACAGACTCAGTACTAAACTTCTGGTAAATGATATATACTTAGTCGTATCACTTCACTTGCTGGCAAATTCACTAGCAAAATGTATAGACTAAATGAGATGCAGTTACCTGAATAGGACACTTAGCTGTATATTCACTTTAAACAGTGGTGTAGATTTGAATTGAAATAATACGATTGATACAGATGCAATTAAGAGGTTCATCGTTTAAACTCAGAAAAAGAAAAAAACAAATTTTATGATGACTTCATTTTCATTTAGTAAACAGTGGTGTTACCTAAACTTCAGTTTATCTGAATATAAAGAATAAACAATCTCAAATTTTAAAATTTTATCGAAAATGATGGCTGAAAATTTTAAATGTCAACCCACAATAAAATTTTTTAAACATTTAATATAGTTTCTAATATTTATCTTTGATACATATCACAGTTACTGATTTCTTCTGCTTGTAACATTTTGTGTTATTTATATAGGAGATATAAAGTGCAGTTAATTGGTGCGCGTATCGGAAACTGTAACAGCAGTGCATTGTAGTATGTTATTTGTAGTGGGTTATCCTGCAGTTTAGAGCCAATTTGCTAAGTAGGTCAAGGTCATGATTAACCCACTGACTGCCAGAGGGTTGTAATAGAAATCCCTCTGGCATTTCACAAGATAACACACAAATCAAATTCAGGCATGATGTTTAAAGGATGGCAATGATCATGTTTTTTCTTACAAACTCCTAACATTATTATCTGTGAAATAAACAAAACACATTAAATTCAATGCAAGCTCTGGATAGAATTAACCATACGTGTAATTTAGCGAGGTTGGCTCATTGTTCTTCCCAATTTGTCGTCTGACTATCTGTCTGCTCTTGATATGTGTGTTGTATTTAGATGAATCTCTGCTACTGAAAAACCTTGCAGCCCCCTTAATAGCACAATGCATGGGCAGCGCATCTCCATACAATATAGTCGATATATATGTGTAACACTTAATTTCCAGCAAGTCGCTCAGACAAGAGTTCCATTGATGCTTCCATGAAGGTACCAATTTGAACTTTTGTACAAAGTAGTGGAAGTTTGCCCACCTCCCCCACCCCCGCTTAACCCCACAAGATGCTGACATTGCAAAAGTCACCCTCTTTTTTTCTGTAGCATCTCGGCGAGGCGTAAATCCCAAATAGGTGATAAAAGAAGTCCTTTTCCGTCAACAACGAGCTTTGATAGGACTCCTCCTTTTTTCTGTACCCTTCTGATTTCTCTCTCTTTTTTTTTTCCTTCTCCAAGTTGACTGTTAACTATCCCCCTTGCATCTAAAGTTGTCTCCTGATTGGTGTACTCTGCCTCCGTTACGTCAGTCAGAGTGTGACGTTCAGTCTTCCTGTTTCCTCCAGCTGTGTCTTAAAGTAAATCTTGTTGTAGTGTGGAGCCTCAGCTGAGCTGCTCTGCCTGCTAGGATAATACAATTACTGCCAGGCATAAGAGACCAGCACAAAAGATCTCTCTCCCTCTTCCCCTCTCTCTCTCTGAGTCTCTGTCTCTCTCCACTCAGTCTCCAGCCTGCTCTCTGTCAGATTCGCACACACACATACACACACACATACACTCACGCATACTCTGTGTCCCTTAGTCATTCAGAGGCACACACACATACTCCCTCCCTTGTCAAATTGTACAATACATCAGCACATATTCCAGGCTCTGTGTTTTCTGTCTTTCGCTGGCAAAACGGATCAGTTTCAACGCTTTCTCTGAGTAAGTATACCCTTCAGCATTAGTTTTTATTTCAAATAACTTTGCTAAATTGCATCCTAGGGCTCTGCTTTTTTTTGCCTTTTTTTTATTTTATCACAGACCTTTTATCAGCACTTAAACTTTAAACGTATTTGTTCAGAAGTGTGTGTGTTTTTTCGTGTTGGAGTAATAAGAACTTCGTTTGAGCAGTGATGCTGATCCTTGTTAGGATAATGGTAAATGTTTAAGGATGCTTAATGTGCCATTTGACTGCTAGTTTTGTTCTATGTAGTAGTAACTGGTTTTTTTTTTCCACCTTTTTAACGCCTGATTTCATCTTTAGTTTTTTGTTTTTCTTTTGTCATGTCTGCAAAGATCCTATTATTATTTTTTTTCCGTCTGCTTTATTTGCTTCTCATTTGAATAGATAGTTCCCTTTTTTTTAATTATTTCTCATTCCAGGAAAAAAAAAAACTGTCAGATATTATTATAATATTGGTTTCTTTCCTTCACTCAGATAAAAAGTGTGTGCACGAGATCTTATTATTTTTTTTTAAAGCTCAGTTAATATAAACCTGTCAATCTGTTTATTCTTAAAAAATATAGCGTATTGCCCCTTATATCGCTTCTAGCAGATTCCCAAGTTTAAAAAAAAAAAATGTAAAATAGCATTTCTTCTTATTAAGACTATGGTAACTCTCTTCTTCCCTTTAAATGCTGATAGCATTATTTTGCCATATTTCATAGCTCTCAATGCCTTGTATCTGAAGGGTAAGAATGATTTTGTAGTTGATCTTTGAAGTTTCACAAATTGGTCTAAAATGAAAAGCCTTGTTTGGATAGCCTGTGTTAGATCTGTCTCCATAGTGTAGCAAGATCTGTACGCATCTAGCAGTAATGTTTGCAAGTCACAGAGAAAGCACATGCTTCTGCTTACACTAGAAAGCTCGTAGTGCTGAATTTTGAAAGCATATTTTTTCCTTTTTCTGGGGGGGAGTTTGGCAAGGGATGCACCCAGCATCACTGCGTGCAAACCAGTCCAAGCAGTTGTCATTTATAGTGTGCATTTCCCCTAGCCTCGTTATTATTTTAATTTATTGTTATTTTTTTTAATTTGTACTTTTTAGGGATATTTGCATCAAACTGTTAACGATGACTGGTCTGCTATAAAAGATTTGCTTTTCATTTCCTTTCTTTTTTAAAAAAAAAATCTTTATTATTTGTCTCCCGCTCCCTTCTGTGTCTGGATAGCTATTGTAAGACCAAAACAGAACATGCATGGTTAACGCCAGACAGGTGCGTTGTGTCAAGAAAGACAGGTGCAAGTTTTCGTTCAGCAGAATCTTACCAGCCGGCTATTGTTGAGAGGTTTATGCATTTATGGCCAGCTCATAGATAAGGAAAGCCCGAACAACAGAGACGTTCAAATTATACCTGGTGAGATGTTTTGTATAAACCCTATTTGCATACTAAATACAGGTTGCATTATTAATCAACATGTTAGACAAAGTAAGGGGAAATATTGCTTTTACCTGATAGCAGATTTATAAGTGGAAGCATATGTTTTGTGTTAGAAGCCGTCTTATTACCTGCCATCACAAAGGTGCATCCGGAAAGAGTTGATTTTTTTTTTTTTGGCTTGGTCCATGGGACCTGATCACTTCTTTAGTCTTGTTTCTTCTTGGCTGGTCAAAATGTACATTTCTTCATTTCTTCATTTCTAACCCATCAGCCTGTAAATGTTTCCCAGAAGTTAGTCCACCTTATGCCACCACTATTTTCAAAAAATTCCCTGTTTTTGGTTAAAACAAAAGTTAGTCCACCTTATGATGACTTTGTTTTTGCTAAGCGAAGTGACGTGTTCACTAAACGGCAAACCGACTTAGAAAATTACAACTTAAAGAGTCAATAGCCTGTCTATAAGGACCTACGTTTTTTAGTCGGATGTCAGTTGGCCATTTAGTAAACAGACGTCTATCTAAATATTTATATATGAATAACATTTCCACTGATCTTTCTCTATAAGAATTGAGAAGTCAAGTACATTATGATGCTCTTTATGTGTGACTCTTGGAAGTAAAACAACTTTTTCCCTCCTGACTCACAACATTTCCACTTACTAATGATTTTTGGTTATATTTTCCCAGCCTCTTCTAGGCTGTCAATCTATCCATCTGTCTCAAATTCCCTGTTTTAGTCGTTCTGTCCATCTATCTGTCTGTCTGACATTTTCTGTTTTACAAAAATAAGGGATCATTTTCTCTCCATCAATTAGAAATAATTAAGTGTCTTCCAAACATAGGGTTCTGTTTTTACAAAGAGATGACTATGAGTATATTTGTGGTTAAAACGTAGAAAATATTTTGCACAGGTTTATTCAGAATGCATGTCAGATTAAGGCACCCTTCTGTAGTATAGTGCTCCTGGGGTGTCCCTTTTTTGTACAGGCACAAGGTGTGCATTTTTCTTTTTCGACTTTACCTTTGAGTTGTGATATCTATGTCATCCTTTAAATTCTTATCTATGGCAGTTCCACCTTTTACTTCTCTGCCCTTTCGTACATATATACTTCTGCTTTTTATTAATGATAAATGAAGGAACTTTAGATATAAAGATGTCAAATATCGCCAAGCAGAATAGCCTTTATGTCTTTTATTATGCCTGTGTTAATGATTCCATCTGGCAGACCCAGTAGTTACAGTTCAAGATTGTCCTCAGTGCCTTAACCCATTCTGTTCCTCTTATATGAAGAAGTTAGCTTTTATTTAAGCATAGGAAAGCCCACCTGACACTTTTAAAACGGCCTTTCCACGCTAGGTGTGACAACGTAAAATTCTTTCTCCATTGATGTCAGAGGTTATAATGCAAACTAACATTTTAAACTAATGATACATTTACGTTAAGCTCTATGCCCATTTTAAACTTGGGGCCTGTGTTTGTTTTTGTTGTTGTTAAAGCAACATATAATGACCCCAGGGGGTAGCCAAAGCTATGTACTAATCATCACTAGACTAGACACAACAACACCTCTAAAGTAATAGACATTAAAAGTTCAATTAGGCATACTCCTGTTTTCGGTGAAACTTTTGTCCCCAGGTACTCTATAATTTTATGCAAAACTGTCTAGTTGTTTAACTCCTTCAACGCTGGGTGTGTACAGTGCTTTTTAGAGGCCACCTATACATCCGTCATCATAGTTAGAGGGACACCCCATTGAGATCAGGCTCTTAGATAACTAAACATCACAGCTAAAAAGCATTGCAGTATAGAATGATGTGTTATTTTGTACACAAAACATTTGTGTAGGTAACGACTACACAATTTCAGCAAGTACATGTAATACGAAATGTATACATGTTGTAATTGCTGTTCACGTTCATCTGCGTTTTTTGCGACTTGGTGTAAGTTTAGTTCTAAACTTTTGGGGAAAACACTTAGCTGTGAACAAACTAGAAAAACGACCTTGATATTTAATCACTAAAAACAGAATCGTATAGCGAATTGAAAACTGAATTTCAAAATTTAAGTAACAATAACTGATTTGTAAAAAAAAAAAGTCTTCAACTCATGTATAGACTTGGCTATTTTAACTTGAATTTTGCTTTTTGATTCTCAATTCACTATAACTGACTGTTTAGGGAATAAACCAGCCTTGCCTCTATTAAGTTATAACACACAGATGGCTACTGATAGCAGTGCATAATCGACCAGGTAAAAATGGTTTTGTGGTATGCACTTATTTATAACTCTGTAATATCCCCTACGCCAAAGATTATTTTCCTGAAAACAGATTGAGAATTATCGTTAAACACACCAATGCCCAAATCTGAAACAGCTCGTACAATTTAGCATCAAACTAATTTAAGACCATTGAATATGCTTAAAGCCATATTTTTGAATCGATAGCAGCAGTTTATTTTCCTAAAAAGAAAAAAGAAAGGAACTTTTACTGTGTATTTAAAAAACAAAACAAAAAAAAAACACACACACACACTACAAATTCATGGCAAAATAGTTATTGTCATTGTATAAAGTTGCAGAAATGCTGTTTAATTTAATTATTTATTTTAGTGACCTTACTTTTTCCCGTCAATAATGCTGTAAAATAGCCACACACAAAAATAATCTTAAGGTAAAACCTGAATTTTCTATTTTAAATTTTTCCCTTTTATAATTGAACATATGCTTTATGCAAATAAAATGCCCAGCTATATATATTTATTTAAATATACCTTTCATTTCAAGAAATTTATTTTTTTCAAATAACAGTCTATCTTTGAACTTAAATTTTCAGATAATTCTTCTATTCTTGCTAATATATTTGCTCCTATTAAAATGAGTGTCAAAAATCCAACATTGTTTAAAAGCCTGTCTCAAATTGTTCGTTGTAAATTAACAAGTGAGGATAGTTACATTGAAACTTTACAATTTTCTCAATTTGATATTGGGCACTCGTGTGCTTTAAATTTTTTTGTCTTGATCTGAGAGGTAAAATAAACTTTTACGTTATTTTTCGTATCATCAGCATTGATCAACAGACTTAGAAATGTCTTATAACAAACTGGAGTATCAATTTAGCCTAGACTAACAGCTGCAGATCAGGAATAAATCAAGCCAAATTAATTTAAATAATGTCGTAGATTTAAAGAAGATTACAGGGGTACATATTTGGCAAGGACACATATTTTGTATTAATTTATGAAAATTTTACCAGAAAACTTTTTAATAAATGCAAATTTGCATATGAGAGGTTTGCAGGAAGGATCTCGTTCAATTTTTGGTGCTATCATTTGTACATTAACCTCTAGATTTCTTGAATTTTGACAAGTAGTTGTTTCAAATGCTTTTTGCTAAAAGGCATGTGTTATTATTTTTTTTATTTTTTTATTAAGCTTAATAACTTTTAAAGGTTTATTCGCTGAACGGTACATTTTAGTGAATTTAAAATTTCGTTTGGCAAATAAAATCCAAGTGAATTGAGCTGGAAGAATTCTCCCCCCTTTTAGCTGTTGGAGCGTGAATTTTCCTTGTTTAATTTGCATGTTCGATTTTTAGTTAAGCTGCAAGTTTAATGAATAAGCATCAAGCACAAATATGTGCTTGCATGGGTAGAAGTTTATATACGTCAAAATCGCTTTATTTTATGTATTATGTAGATATTACATATTCTGAAGCTCCCAACTGTTATATTTAGAATGCATGGAGATTAGGAGGAATGGATCAAACTAAGAGGATTGATTTACTAAATGTTGAATTGTGGGCAGTCGACAACTGAATTGCAAGATTCCAGTCAAAATTTTGGACATTGAAATTTTTTTTTCGGTGATACAAAACTGATCCAACGCAGCTATTATGCTCAAAATTTTATTAATCAATTTAACACAAGTTGCCATTTAGTGAATAAATTCCCAGGTCTTTTGAGTGAATCCAAAACAGTTTTCCATAGACTTTGTATTTATTAGTGATCACAAATGGTGCTTCATGGGCCTACATGGACAATTCAAATGTGATACTTTACCTCACAAAGACAAACTCTCGGTTTGTTCCACAATTTTTTTATTTTATTTTTTACCAAAGTAGTGTCCAGTGTACCCTATAATGACACAGACTATCCTTTTAGAGATGTTGGGTTTGTTTTTAAGGAGAAATTTCATACTTTTTTTTTCTTCTTAAATTGACAGAAATATATACAGGTATTATGTTCCTCTTAGGATGGAGATCTGACCATAGCCTTGAGATAGTTTTCTTCGGATACACGATTTTACAGCCAGCATTTTCTTCCTTTACTTGTATTATATATATATATATGTGTGTGTGTGTGTGTGTGTGTTCACAATCCATCTGTGTAAGCTCTGCTTAATAATATCCTAAATCTGACGGTTTTGTCATGCTGAAATTATGCCTTTTTGCATGAATAGTCATCTTTTAAAACTAGCCACAGATGCAGTCCTAGGGAGCACATAGATGTTTTTACAGGTGAACCGAAAAGAGATGGGACACATTCCAAAAAAGTCTGCATGCTGCCTTTGGCAATGTACCCTGTGATTGTAAAGATGTGCTCTGTTAAGCAAATGCATAGTTTAGTATCAGATAAACATGGCATGAAAGATTCTCATCACCTTTATTTTTTTTAATTTTTTTACTAAGCACAATTTTTATCTCCATGGAAAAAAGGGAAACCTTGTAGTTTCCTCATAAGTTGAACCGTCACCAGTAACATTTAGACTGTTCTTTTTGAGAAATAAATCATTATAATCTTTCTTAGGTGGAATTCAAGGAAAAGCAATGACACTTGGGAAGAAAGTCAGAACATCATTGTATCGCGGTTATTTCATATTTGCCGTACATGGTTTTCTGCTTTGGCGATACATGCCACAGGAAACCAGATGCAGGCATAGATAAAATGATGTCACTTGGCATTCAGAGCAAGTTGAAGGAAGATACACTTACTGGCTAGCAGTAATCTTTATAGGAAAAATCATGTTGAAGAATTGAGAAACCTACGGGGTTTTCTGTTACTGTTACGGGAAATATCCTGCTAATAGTGCAGACGTTGCTCATGTGTAATGTGCATTTCTAGATCCTTTTCTCAGGAGACTTGCTGTTCGCTATCACACCATGTACCGGATACCATGGTTTACATCCTCACATTTTGGGTTAAACACCCAACTATGTGTATCGTTGGCCATGTATCCCTCTCAATTTACTAGATATTGCATGAAGTATTAGGATTATCTAGATAAATCAATCTCCCTAGGGCAGTAGAACTGCTTCCCTTAATCAGAGACAGGCCACTTCTGGCCCAATAACCATTTAGGATTAAACCTATATTAGTCCTTGACTGCCTACTCTTGCTTGCACTTCTAGTGGTTTTGCATGGCACCTCTTTGGGCAGTGCAAGCTTCCTTTGGCAGACTAAAATGAAGGGAGCAATAGGCCATGCCAAAATGTTGTCCTTGGATTTTGTTTCCTTATTTTTAATAATTGTGCTTTATATCGATACTTCCCCTGTGTTAAATAGTGCTTTTTGTACAAAACACTGTCTGTAACCATAAAACATCTACCTCTAAAATTTCTGTAAGGTTAAATATATCCATTTTTTTTTCCTGGAATACGTTACAATTTTTTTTAAATGTATATTTTGCTTCTTATTTCAAAGATAAACCTTCCAAATTGGATTTTATTTCATCTTTCTTAGCATTATCTGGCCAAATTTAATCATTTGTTTTTCTTTTGCTGTGCTCTTACAATCTGCAGAGATAAACGCTATCAGTTTGAGAACATTTGAGAAATACAATCATTTTACTTGTACTTAAGTAGTTTTTATGTTTTTGCTTTTTTATATTTATTTTGTGTGTTCTGGGGAGGGGGGTTGTGTGTAAATCTTAATCCATCTTAAAGCAGTGAAGCAGAAATATTTAAAAATGTTTAGTTTCAAGCAGAGTGCATAATAAATTGTAATAATTGTAATGTGTCATAAATCCCAGAGCCTATGCATTTTGCATTTTATTCAGGATTGAGGTCAGGAAATTTGGAGAAATTTAAAGAAAATGATTCATCAGTCCTTTTGTTCTGTTGGCTAGGGTCCCAGGATTCTCGAGCTGTGCCCAGCTGACAAGCTTTTGAAGATGACACAATAACAGACCAGTGATGCCTGACCATGACAGCGCAGCCCTCTTAAGCAGGCAAACCAAGAGAAGAAGAGTTGACATTGGAGTGAAAAGGACTGTAGGGACAGCATCTGCATTTTTTGCTAAAGCGAGAGCAACCTTTTTCAGTGCCATGAATTCCCAAGGTTCCGAGCAGGATGTTGAGTATTCCGTGGTACAGCATGCAGATGGGGAAAAGTCAAATGTACTCCGCAAGCTGCTGAAGAGGGCGAACTCCTATGAAGATGCCATGATGCCTTTTCCAGGAGCAACCATAATTTCCCAGCTGTTGAAAAATAACATGAACAAACATGGTGGCACAGAGCCCAGTTTCCAAGCCAGTGGGCTTTCCAGCACAGGCTCTGAGATACATCAGGAGGATGTATGCAGCAACTCTTCAAGAGACAGTCCCCAAGAGTGTCTTTCCCCCTTTGGCAGGCCTACGATGAGCCAGTTTGATATGGATCGGTTGTGTGATGAGCACCTGAGAGCAAAGCGTGCCCGGGTTGAAAATATAATTAGAGGTATGAGCCATTCCCCAAATGTGCCATTGAGGGGCAATGAAAATGAAAGAGAGGGAGCCCCCCGGTCTATAAGCCCCCGAGAAAGCTATAGAGAAAACAAGCGCAAGCAAAAGCTGCCTCAGCAGCAGCAGCAACAGAGTTTCCAGCATCTGGTATCAGCTCGAAAAGAACAGAAGAGAGAGGAGCGTAGACAGCTGAAACAGCAGCTGGAAGACATGCAGAAACAGCTGCGCCAGCTGCAGGAGAAGTTCTACCAGATCTACGATAGCACCGATTCAGAAAATAATGAAGATGGCAACCTGTCTGAAGACAGCATGCACTCAGAGATCATAGATGGAAGAGCCCGGGATTCTGTGGGCAGGTCAGATAATGAAATGTTTGACATAGACCCTGGGCAGTTCATTAATCGTGCCCGAGCCCTAGTCAGGGAACACGAACTGGCACCAGACAATCATGGGAAAAGAGAGGGAACAAAAGACAAAGATCCTTTGCATAACATTTTCCACCCTGAAAGCAAACATTTGGCAGAAACACTTAAGCAAGAACTAAATACTGCTATGTCACAGGTAGTAGACACTGTGGTCAAGGTTTTTTCGGCAAAGCCCATTCGCCAACTCCCTCAGGTCTTTCCACCCCTCCAAATTCCTCAGGCAAGATTTGCAATCAATGGGGAGAGCCACAACTTCCACACCACCAACCATCATGCACAGTGCTTTGGTGATGTCATCATTCCAAATCCCCTGGACACTTTTGGCAACGTACCGATGCCTAGTTCTACAGACCAAACAGAAGCACTGCCCTTAGTTGTACGCAAAAATTCTAATGACCAATCTACCAGTGTGCCACCACCTGGTAGTCATCATGCTTCACTGCATCAGTCCCCTCTCTCAGCAGCTGCTAGCTTCTCCTCCTCTTCTTTCCGTCACCCTTTCCCTCTTCCACTCATGGCTTACCCATTTCAAAATCCTTTGGGTGCCCCATCTTCAGCCTTTCAAAGCAAAGACAGGGCCTCCCCTGAATCCCTAGACTTAACTAGGGAGACTACAAGTCTGAGGACCAAGATGTCATCACATCATATGAATCATCACCCATGTTCTCCAGTGCACCCTCCTAGCTCAACGGAAGGTCTCTCCTTGTCTTTTATCAAGTCGGAGTGCGGAGACATGCAAGATATGTCCGACATTTCTCCATATTCTGGAAGCGCAATATCCTTTTTAAAGTGGTTGATGAAAAAATACTAATTTATTGTATGTATGTTATGATCTTATGACATTTAAAAAAAAAAAAAAAAAAGTAAAAAGCATGAAATGTTTATATTTATATGGTTTTAAATACTGGATTCTTTAAGTTACATAAGCTTTTTTACATTAAGTATAATTAGTTAGTTCCATAGATTAATAATATACACATGTACACATTATTATATTACTGGAAAACTAAGTCAGTATTAGGGCAGACATTTAATTTTTGCAATGTATATTGCCAAAAATAGTATGTCTGCTCTAATAGTAAGAGAGAGATGGGCAGATATAGAAATTGAGAAACTGATAGCGCAGCAGAGGTTAGAAGAACATTACCAAAAATCGTATGTTTACCAAAATGTTACTTCTAGAATTTTAACATTGTTTTCTGTTAAAGATACCTGTTCTTTCTCCTAATAACAGAAAGCCTATTTCTAAGTTTACTTATAAGACTTGTACTTTCTAAATACATATTCTACCCTAGATATTTGGCTGATATTATGCTTTGCGAAGAGTCAATGAATGCACGTGAGTACCCACCTCTTTGGTATCAGTTGCATTCGCTGACATAAGAATAAAAATCAACATAAAATCCAGGTTGGCTGTTGCAGTAAATGAAAATAAAAACAGCTAAACACATTTGTTATTTTCCAGATGTCTATCCTTTGTTATGATTGCTAAACTGCAATCACAAGGAGAGCGTAATACAATTTGTGATTGTATTAACACTGATGCAAATGTGATCTATTGAATTTGAACCCAGACACAATTATAGGTCTTGTGCTTGTGAAATCACCTTCCTGTCGAGAATCAACAAAATACATGCCTTACTTTCTGCTTGGACAGAAATTGTGACTTTATACATTAGTAGGTTGGACAGCCCATCCATATAGCGATGGATCATATCCTGCACATTTACGTTGGACTCACTGCCACAGTGTCGCACAGCCGTTTCATTAGTAACCTATAGTAAAATGGAGATCTTGGCAGTTAGGGTACTGAGTGAGCTCAACTGGCCAATCAAATAGCATTATTAAGGGTTGAATTATATATAGAAGTTGACAAGTATTTGTAGACATTATTATCCAGACACAAATATCATATCATACTAATTGGTATTAGCCTGTTATCATTATATAGTTACAAATTAAGTTAAGTAGATAATGCAGTTACTACATTTGACATTTGTAGAAAACGTAATTTCGTATACTGTACCACCGTTTCCATGGTGATTGCTGTACTTTTTAAAGTCTACCTTAGAATTTCTCCTTGTGCGTTACACTAGCCTAGTTTTCAGTGCCAATAACGGATGTATTTAATTGATGCATCCTCTGTATTTTTTAAGATGTACTCCATCTTCTTGCATTGGTGAACATGCACTGCGAAACTCGTATCTTAAATACAATGTCGATTGCATAGTCCGGAATGGCCTGTTGAACAAACCAGATTTTTAGCACGCAGTATTTGAAATATAAGTTTATCAATCTTGGATTCCATTGAGTAGACTAGAGTTTAGCATGTTCTGTTGTACGTTCTGAAGTGGGCGGGAGTGCTTCCACCATCACGTTGATTGATGTTCACCCAAAGCACAAAAAGCAGGCATTTTAACCAAGCTTCCCTCAAGTAGGAAAATAAAATGCACTAAGCTGGGAAAGATAGAGGAAGTATGAGTCAAGTGAACAGCTGACTCTCATCAAATGGAAATCTTAGAAAGGTTAATTATTATAGAGGAAAACAATGTTTAGTGTGTGGATATATATGTGTGTGCTCAAGTGAGTAAACAAAAAGATACAGGTACTGATTTATTCAGACTGTATAAAGTTCTCTCTTCCACCCAGAAGTCTGTTCTTCAGGCTCAGTGCAGCTGCCTGCCATGCATGATTAACCTCTGTTGAGCCTTACACAGAAATCTTTTGTCCTTACGTACACAAAGCAAATTATTTTGGAAAGCCACTGAGCACAATTAAACACAAAATTCAGCTGTATTAGGCTTTAAAATTGTTGTCTACACAGTCCTGTTTTTTCGCATCATCTATGTAAATTTTTATGCGAGGGGGTGGGTCGGGGATGGAGGGTTTGTGAAATATGATATTGTTGCTATAAAACGCCATGCACCCTTCCTTTCGTGAACCAATAGACCCTAGTCAATTGATTTAAGATATTTATTCTTCACGTTTAAGTATTATCTGTTTAGGAGGACACTACTACAGTGAAGCAGTTACATTTCTGATTTAACAAGGATCGGGCATTAAATGGAAAGACATTGGTGGGCTGCCTAAAATTGGCACCTTTCATAGTGCATCAGTGGTCAGACTAAAACAGTAACCGGAGCTTAATTCTGGTTAAGATTGGATATGCTATTACTAATTAACATGATGTTCCCATTTGAACCTGGTTCAAAGTAAGTACATCATCCTGGTCAGTCAATAGTTAAACTGCTAGTACGATAGACTCAAAAACAAATCTTAAGATTGAGGAGATCTTCATGCAATTTAACCCCTTTATGATAGATGATATGGCAGCATTGATATCTTATAATGGGATTTTACAAATATGTTAATTCAACACATTTGTAAAACACATGTATTAATAGTTACATTAATAAAGGCATGGGATAGGTACTTATTATTAAATTTAAAAACAAAAAATTAGAAAAACAAATGAAAATATCCAACCATATCACTAATAAAAAAAAGAGAGAGAGAGAGAAATAGATGAATGGATAGATAGATAGATAGATAGATAGATAGATAGATAGATAGATAGATAGAATGCTTAATATTTTCAGGATATGAATGATATATACAGGGTTATTTACTAAATAGAGAATTGTTGGGAATCCAGAGTGAAGTTCAAATTTAAGACCAAATATCTGGCCTGTAAAAAGTCAGCTATTTTTCTAATGCAGCTATTTTGGTCATAAATTTGAACTTCACTTAAATTCCAGACAATTCTCTCTTGTCAATAACCATGAACTCCTTATTCAGGTAGTACGTAAATAGACATTACTAAATATTCTTTCAGGTAAAAATTTGATGTTCTGTCTTTGTGCACATTTACCTATCAAGTCTCACCCATACCTCCTCTCCAGTAACTTTCTTAAGTTAATTTACTTTCTGTTGCATGCCTTACACCTCCCAACATTTTAAATGGACACACAGGGACAATTTAATATTAAGGGTGTGATTGGGCATATTGTCAAGATTGGGCTATTCAGAGAATTTTGGGTGACTTAATAATAACAATTTATGCAACTAAAATGTAATTTAGAACAATAGAGGAGCATTAGGATAGAAAAGAGGGACAGAGAGATTTGTGCCCAAAAAAAGGGCTGGCCCTTTTAAAATGAGACAGTTGGTAAGTATGATGCTGTTCATGTCATAGGGTGATACAAAGTAAAGTCCAGTTCTAGGAGAGCTAGAGTCTCCTCCATTCATTTATTATATTTTAAGAGTAGTGATGTCCCGAACGGTTTGGCGAACGGTTCGCCTGCAAGCGGTTCGCCACAGACTCATATTGAGTAAACTTTGACCCTGTACCTCACAGTCAGCAGACACATTCCAGCCAATCAGCAGCAGACCCTCCCTCCCAGACCCACCCACCTCCTGGACAGCATCCATTTTGAAGCTGCATTCTTAGTGAGCTGTCCAGGAGGTGGGAGGGTCTCGGAGGGAGGGTCTGCTGCTGATTGGCTGGAATGTGTCTGCTGACTGTGAGGTACAGGGTCAAAGTTTACTCAATATGAGTCCGCGGCGAACCGTTCGGGACATCACTATTTAAGAGCTTAAATGCAAAAGAAAGAGAAGCATTGTGGAGTTAAGTAAATGTATTAATCGTAGAACAATGTAAAACAGTGAAATCATCAGCTCACATTTATCCTACAGAACTGGATGAAAACAAAATTACCTAGAGCAACATTTAATTGAAATCAATCAGGTTTAGGGATAAGAAGTTCCAATTCACATGACGGAAAGTTAAACATTATGTTACAATCTTTAAATATTAATGATATTGATTAAAATAGTTTTGCAATCAAATCCAGTTTAGTAAAAACATCAAGTTCCACAAGTGATTTCCAGACTTGTATTCCAAGATGAACAGAGATGATCAGTGATTTGAGAACATGCAGAAGGTAAGTGGTACAAAGTTATGCTTGTAGTTTTCTGATTTGGTTATGAATGCTGTCTTGTAGAATAATCGAAACTATATTAGTGATATATTATCTTTATTAGATGTAGAGATAGACGATTGAAATTTGTATAAATAGATGTAGAGAGAAAAAAAAAACTCACAAGCTGACTGGTTAATTGTTCTTCTGTAGAATTAAAATGTATACACTTGTGGAAGAAAAATATATTGAATAACTTTCATTGTAAGTAGCATATATCTATCAATCACAGCAGTGGATGTTTGTAAAATGTGTGTGTCCCTAAAACAGTCTGTGCAGGTGAATGTCGACTTACAAGGGTCTTTAGTATAATGAAAGAAAGGGGAAAAAAGGCCATTTCTATAGACCAGGGGTTAAAAAGAGTGTGTGAATTTCAAACTGATTTGTCAAGGATATGTTGCATTAAGTACAAATTGTAAACATGCAGACAGTGTCTGTGTTTGCCTCCGTATAAAAAGCCATTGCCTCCTAAGTTATTTTAGCACAGTGATAAAAGACAAGTAGCTTAAGGAGACACAGTTGCTAGCGCATTGTATCATGTGCAAAAAAACCCTGCTTAGATCAGATTTATTATAAAGTCCTGTCAGATTTCCCATCTTCCTGTATCTTATTGGCATTAGCTGTGATAAGTTTATTATCAGTTGAGGAGTAAAACACAATTACTTTAAATTTAACATTTTCTACGAAAGCTACTGTTGTCATCTTTTGTATACACCAGTGATGACTAATTGGGCTTAGCAGGACATCATGGGCAAAGTAGTTCACAGATGCCAAGGTCTACCATGGCTAGCAAGGTTTTCAAAAATTCCGTCTTGCTCTTGATAGAAGTTAAAACATACTTACCATTCCCTTGTAATTCTGTCTAGCAGCACCTTAAAGGACCACTATAGTGCCAGGAAAACATACTCGTTTTCCTGGCACTATAGTGCCCTGAGGGTGCCCCCACCCTCAGGGTCCCCCTCCCGCCCGGCTCTGGAAGGGGAAAGGGGTAAAAACTTACCTTTTTCCAGCGCTGGGCGGAGAGCTCTCCTCCTCCTCTCCGCCTCCGTTACGCCCCGCCGGCTGAATGCGCACGCGCGGCAAGAGCTGCGCGCGCATTCAGCCGGTCTCATAGGAAAGCATTTACAATGCTTTCCTATGGACGCTGGCGTGCTCTCACTGTGATTTTCACAGTGAGAAGCACGCAAGCGCCTCTAGTGGATGTCAATGAGACAGCCACTAGGGGATTAGGGGGAAGGCTTAACCCATTCATAATTATAGCAGTTTCTCTGAAACTGCTATAATTATGAAAAAATGGGTTAACCCTAGAAGGACCAGGCACCCAGACCACTTCATTAAGCTGAAGTGGTCTGGGTGCCTAGAGTGGTCCTTTAATTCCTGGTGTTGTTTGCCCAAGACAATGAATGTATCTCAGAGAGCAGAGGTCCTTCAATGACTTGGTAGAATGATGTCATATGACCAGGTCATGCTACGTCATTTCAGACAGTGAAGAATGCAATGCACGAGGTGATAGTCCCAGGTTAGGGCTAGAGAATGTGAAAGTGTTGCAAAACAAATGGGCATAGCACTCTCTAATTTAATAAGTGTCTAGAATTAATATCTTATCAGAGCTGTGAAACGCAGTTCTACCAGACGAATTTGGACTGCAACGTGTACAATTCTTGGTCCCTCTAGTATTCCAAGAATTTTGGAAGTTGTATTCTTTATTCTGGATCTGTTGTGCTGGGTGTTTGACCTCCTCTTCCCCCCTCCCCCCGATCTAAATGGAAGGAGAACTTGTTAAATATAAGTAATATGTAAATAAAAGTCATCAATTGCAATATATTCAATATTAGCTTTTTATTATGCAGTTAAAAGAAAAAGGAAATAAAAAAACTTTCCTCTATAACAAATTTAACAAATATGCATTTGTGAGGTATAAAAAAATAAAATTGAATTTAGAGGCCTGCACTTCCATCTTGGCTGCCGGTCAGTCATTCTTATAAACTCTACTATTTTTTTATTGTTATAAGCTCTCCATTGCACTTGGCAGTGAGCACAAAGAAATAGTGTTTCTGTGTCTTCTCATTTGCATTGTGTGCCCTGACTGTGCCTGGATTTAGCTGAATTGTAATGTCATATCGTACATCTTTAATGTAATTTTAAAAGAGAAGCATTTGATTAGATTGTTTCACTGGTTTAGAGGGAATGCAGGCGCTCTGAGCTGGGGAGGGAGGGGAAAAATGAAAAACAGACAATTAAGCGCATAAATATCTCTGGTTGTGCTGAAACTCTGCACATACAGACTCCAACCACTATGATCAGAAGCAAAAGTGATCATGGTGGTTGGAGTAACCCTACATGGACTGTATGACAGAAATCTACTGTCCCATGAATATTTTTAAAGATGCTGATTTTAAAGGGACACTATAGGCACCCAGACCACTTCAGCTCATTGAAGTGGTCTGGGTGCAATGAACCAACACGCTTAACCATGGAAAGGTAATTATTGCAGTTTTTTTATAAACTGCAATAATTACCTTTATGGGGTAACACCTCCTCTAGTGGCCAATGCATGCGCATTTGTTCTCACCCACCGGATGACGTCGGTAGAAAAGGAGCGCAGGCGGACCCGAGCAAGCACCGGGGGACATCGACGCTGGACCCAGGTAAGTGACTGAATATGTTTTTAACCCCTTCAGTACCGTGGGGTTGTAGGGAGGGGTTAAGCACTATAGGTAGCTATAGTGCAAGGAAAACAGCTTTGTTTTCCCAGCACTATAGTGTCCCTTCAAATAAGTAGGACATTCCCTGTTATCATAGGTTTAAAAGAAGTATATGGTCATGCTAGAACAAATTGTCATTCGTCTTTAAGGATCATTTGTCTTTCCGCATGAGTGATAGCCATCCATAAATATAGCTTTTTTTCATTGTTCCAAATTTCCCTATAATGTTGCAGGTTCTGTAACCTCCACAAACTGTTGGAACAAAGAATTTGGCTTCAGGACTCTCAAAAACAAACCTGTTGACGTGGGAATAATGAATAGATAGTGATATTTCCCTGCGTAACACTTACTAAAAAACACCACTCCCCTTTATTTAAATGTATAAAAATATCCTAATAGTATAAATATTCAAGCTTTTAAACATTTTCTTTTCTTCCTGTCTTAAGTCATTTTCTGGCATCTGTTACGAACTGATGTTTAGAATGAAAAAAAAAAAATACAGAAAAACAAAAATGAAATTTTGCCAACGCCAACTTAACCCTTCGAATGCTTGGCATTTGGTTGCGTTATTTTTTACACCTGTGCTTGGCACCCAAAGGGTTGGTTTTTTTTGACACCTGTACAGATGTCTCTCCTGCACACACTACTTCAGTTGTAGCTTCAGTTTGGTAAATGCAAATGTCGTAGCTTGAACAGTGCTATTTTCCTTGAGATGCAAAAAAGATGCGTGGCAAGGAAATCAGCGAGAGAGAGAAAAAACAAATAGCTGCTGTTTCTTTTCGCATTTGAATAAAACTTAATATTTGATTAAACAGATTAATTTGCAAAGAAACCCAGAATGCATTTCTCTACCAAAGGCTTGGTCTAGTAGCATACAGGTGCAATTTAACAATCCTTAAAGAAGGAAGAATACAAACATGAAACCGGAACAAAGCACTTTGCGCACAATGCCACAGGTTTACAAATAGCAGAGTTTGTACATGGTTGACCTCAACTCTCATCACTCATTGCCAACCCAGTTAACAATGATATAAATTCACAAGAGTAGTGGCAATCGTTCCCGATCCCAGGTTTAGACACCAATATGCAGAACAAATCTTGTAGGTATACAAAGTTATTTTTAACACAATCTTGCTTTGCACTTAGAAAGATTCTATAAGTGCCAGGAATACAAAGCTGTATTCCAGGCAGTATAGCTCCCTCTGCCTCGTGCCACCCCAATAAACCTTTTTTTTTTTTACTTACCTGATTCCAGCACTGATGTCCCTCTGCGCTGGGTCGCAGCTCCGCCTCCTCCGACGTCCTGGCAGACAGCCACTGGAGGCAGACTTTGTGCTGCAATGTTTAACATTGCAGCATTAAGTGTAGAAGGTACTCTGCACCCAGACCACTTCAATTAGCTGAAGTGGTCTGGGTGCCTATAGTGTTCCTTTTATAGTTTAACATAATTTTTACTGTGATTGGAGATTTATGCACTAAATAGTGAGTAATAATGAGTAGACATCTGACCACAAAATTTTTCCAAGATCGTTGAACTAAAAAAACTCCATAAATAAGAAGAGAACCGCTTGCTACCTTAATTAGTACGTAATTACTAAGGTGTTAATTCAGTACAGAGTGTAATGGCAGCCTACTTGCTATAATGTAAAACCCAGTTTGGAGATATTTTTTTTCAACTAAGTTTTTTTTTAGCATTCATTGGATGGGTTGTCTTCTCATCTGTAACTCACTGTTTCGTTAACAAGCAACTACCTGCCCATTTGTATAGGTTGTTACTTTACGTTGTAACACTGAAAAGTGTTTACTACAAGCTGTCTTATCTATCTTAGCACAGCTATTATGAAGGCTAACCCTGACACAGCAGGTGTTTGTGGACTGCATTTCCCACAATTCTCAGCACATTGCAAGATTAATACCTTCTTAACCCATGTGCTGCGTATTAGAGGTAAAAGTATAGATATAGTTGATGGGAAACTAAGTTACACTTTTCCCCTTCCCTCTCGGAAAAGAATGTGTGAATCTCACCTAAAATACACTTAAATAGGGAACAGAGTTTGTGCCTTCTTCAATACTTGCCTGTAAGAAAAAAAACTAAAAAAAAAAAAATATATATATATAAATCAACATACAGGAGTCTTCACTTTTCACTTTCTGCCCATGTGAAAAAATAGGGGCTTGGACGTGGTGTGTGAGCCCCGAGTAAGTTGTCAAACCATACTAAAACATTTAAAAGTGTCTTTATTTGAATTATTTTACCCCAAAATGGCTACTTCACCTGACGTTCTCCAAGTTGGTTGAATTATGTACAACACAATTGTAGTATTTAGATATCTCAATGTTTCCTATACTTTGCCCCATATAACAGTTAACATATCTCTAATACTCTTTATACCTGCCCAATAAATACATCATATTAGTCAAATAAAGTGGGTATCTGTCCCCTACTCGTCACATGCCCTCTGGCAACACACGCCCCGATACGTATGCTTACCTTTTTTTTTCCCACCGTTGTTTAGTTAAGGCTATATTGTACTTTGTAAACAGACAACACAAGTCTCAGGTTGTTTGAACACTGCTTTAGGTTCAGCTGCAGTACACTGTTTCTCTGATCTTTTATGTTCCTGAGCAGATGTCTTTCATTAATTTATGGATTTATCATCCTTTTTTTTTTTTACACCTGGCAGCTGTCTCAAGTTTCAGCAGTTTTTGTCTATTTTGCATTGCACATAGAATTGAATGTCATCTGTCTTCACAAAGCTAAGACTAGAAGAATCATGATCTTCTAGGTTGGAAATTGTTTGTGCACATAGCACACTTATAGTTGCCCCCCCCCCCACCCCCCTCACTCCTTAATATTTATTTATGCTCATTTTCTTTCCTGGCCTTGAATGGGGCTTAGCTTGTGTTCAGTACAGCTGTATGTTTACCGAATCTATTCCATCGTGACTCATTGTACGTGTGCAAGTATCCTAGAGACAGCCAGGGCTTTCTTGGAAGTTTAACAGTTGCCTTTTAATGCTTCCACTTAATAGGAAAATATGCCCATTGGTCAGTTTATGTTAACAATATTTAGAAGAAAAGGCATGACCTATCAGCAAGCTCATATAACAATCATTAAAATTCGTAATAATAAGTGCTGTTAAATAGAAGGATGAATGTGTCGTACATTGACTAATTCTTTTTCAAAAAAGACAGATAAGAATATTAGGACATCACAAAAACAACTACCGTGGTTCATTGCATTTGCATCGTGCGAAACGCGTCTTAATTCTGATTTCTCATCCAGTGTAAAATCAAGTGGCAGTACTTTATTTAGGTGTAGAATCATTCTCTAAAGCAAACTTTATTATTGGCACATTAATGTGCTGCTACAATTTATTGACAATGGTTAGAAGAAAAAAAAGTAAAGGAAAGTTTGTTGAAGGTAATTCCAAGAAATTATGGGAATAAAAGAAGAATTATCTTAAATTCGCATTAGGTGCCTTTCTGTACCTTTGCAAAGGTCCCTGGATTTAACGGAGTAAATGACAGATGCCAGTATTTTTATAACAAATTAATGTTAAATTATCCCCTATAGATAAAGAAACACTATAGTGTTAGCAATACAAAACAGTATTTGCAATGTGTGCCTGGACTGAACTGGGTTGTGATGTAATTTCCTTTTGTATAACACAAGTTATAGGTGATTTTTAAGCTTTTCCCCTGTGATCCAAATAAATGGAAGTCAAGAATAGATAAATTTGTTTATATAAATGAATAAATATGTACAGATAAAAGCACAACTACCATGATTTTTTTTTTCAGCTGCTGTAAAAAACAAAATATATATATTTTTTTTGGGGGGTGAGCAATTAAGAGTTATAAAGAAAGAGATCCACGTGCATTATTGAATAATACAAAACCAAATATATATTTTATGCACAAGTTTTGACTTTCCTGCAACTCTTATCATACGAAATAGGTGACAGCTTGGTGCTATTATTTCATTTATGCGTTTTGACAGATGGTACTGGAGAGTATAATGCACTTTTAGACTCCTCTATCAGTCTAATGGAGGTAACCGAAGGTTCTTTCAATTCTTCTCTTGGCACAAGAAGTATGTCAGTGAAATTAGCTCCTTTTGTAATGATTAAATCTTCCATGCTAAAAAAAAAAAGTAACTTTTTTTGGCTCTGTAATAAACATACACATTTCCAACTTGTTTTCATAATTTTTCAGTAAACAGATTTTCCAACACAAAATTCTTAATCAAGATACTTATATAGAAACCTCTTAGTATGTGTATATTTGTATTACTCTTGCTTTAAATACTTAAGTTAAAACCTCATGTATCATTTAATTAAGCTCACATCACCGGATTCCCTCCTGTCTCTCAGAAACCTTTTAAAGGACCACTATAGGCACCCAGACCACTTCAGCACAATGAAGTGGTCTGGGTGCCAGGTCCATCTAGGATTAACTCTGCCTGCTGTAAACATAGCAGTTTCAAAGAAACTGTTATGTTTACTTTAGGGTTAATCCAGCCTCTAGTGGCTGTCTCATTGACAGCCGCTAGAGGCGCTTCCGCGCTTATCACAGTGAGAAGACGGCAGCGTTCATAGGAAAGCATTGATAATGCTTTCCTATGGACTGGCTGAATGCCGCGCATGCAGCCCATGATGTCGGAAGGAGGAGGAGAGTCCCCAGCGCTGAGGGAGCACGGCACTGGAGAAAGGTGAGTGTTTAACCCCCTTCAGCCCGACGGGAGTGGGACCCTGAGGATGGGGGCACCCTCAGGGCCCTATAGTGCCAGGAAAACGAGTTTGTTTTCCTGGCACTATAGTGGTCCTTTAACTGTCCTTAAGATGCAACCTTTTAATGTGGGTCTCTTCATACCTGTTTTCTGAACACTACTCGTCCAGTTGATTCAAATTACCCTTTTTTCTTCGGCAAAACCAACAACAAAATATACAAAGTTATTTACTAAACATGGAATCGTAGAAAATTGTCAAGGGAAAATCAGACATATAGACATATTAGAAAGGTTCTCTACCCTACTGTTTTTCAAATTTTCCACTTAAAATTTGCAATCCATTTCTCAGAATTTGTGCAGTCCACAAATTCTTCCTTGCTAAATATCACTGACTGTGTTTTGAAAGAACAGAATGCATTTTTATTGTATTACTGTTATAACAGTTATACTGTTACCTTATATTTTTACAGAATTTATTTTTCAGTACATCTTACCTTTTCCCCTTTGCCTGTTGTACACAGTCCTGAGTGATTTGGGGGGTAGTCAGCTCTATCCAACCCAAGATCACTTTCACAGATTGTGAGAGTGATCTTAGGTCGGTTAATAAATTACCCAGAATCACTCTCACTGACTTACCTGGCTGCTGTGCATTTACACTGTTCTTATTTCTACAGAACGTGACCCTTAGGAGGGTTGTCCATATGTATTTAAAGTGGAACTCATCTGGAAATAAGGCTGGGTTGCTAAAAAACAAAAAGCTTAGTTGATAGTGACTTAACTAAACTGCTGATAACTGCTGTTTTCAAAGCAAAATGTTGATTCCACAAATCTCATCCCCCACTTCATCCAAATTATACATTTGTATTTATTTAGAAATGATCACTTAAATTCTCGTGGTCATTAAAGGTGAAAAAGGACTGACATGGTTTGTAATTTTAGCTAGAACAAAATAACCTGCAAGTCGACTTTAAAAAGCTCAGCTTTAAAAAGGCATGTTAAACATGTTTTCACGTGACATTACAATGTTTCTGTGCTGAAATGAAAACAGTATTATAATTGCGCTGATTATAATGCTGAATGTCATTACATTGGCAGGTTCATTGCTGTGCCCGATATTGTAATGATGCAATGCATCCAGCACTGTATATTTCGATAGGCTTATGAGGGTTTCAGAGTTAGAGACTGTAGGGTTTAGAAGGACCTATGGTTAGAGAATAGCTTCCTTTGTAAACTGTAACACCTATCACCCTGATATATATATATGGATAGACAGATAAAAAAAATTAATGGATAGTCATATATATATATATATATATATATATGACTATCCATTAATTTTTTTTATCTATATATCTGTGTGTTTATATATATATATATATATATATATATATATATAAACACACAGATATATAGATATATATACATACATATATATATATGTATGTATATATATATATATATACACTATTTTTTTTAGAATGCAAGTAGAAGCTGTTTGCAATTTTATAAATGATTAATTTAGCACAAAGGACATGTTGACCATGTCTCAAAAATGTGTGTATTTTAATACTAAGGTCAGTTTCAGATTATCTAAACTTGTTTGTGCATATAAATAAAAGATAGAAATATATATATATTTATATAAACTTTAAAAAAAAATGAGCCATAATTGACCTTGGGGGCTGCATTGATTTTCACCCCATGCATCTTCATTTCTGATAAATTATAAAGCCATTCATTTGCCGAGGAAATGGCAGGGCCAGCCTGCAGCACAGATGTGCCCTAAGCGTACTAGCTTACAGCTTTTCAAAATATTGCCAAGAAGCAGGGTGGGGGGTTTAGAAGGCCTAGAACGCTATGGTTAGTCCTGTGTTCTCTTGAGAGCTCTTTTTGGTTGCTTTTTTTAAACAGAATTTAGAAGTACTGATGTTTCCATCTCAGACAAGCAACTGGGCATGTATTGATCTGTTAAGCTATCTGCATAAGTTTACTACACAAAGATATTATATTAGTGTCATATATACAATTAATTGTAACAAATGTTTGTTATATTTTATGTTTACAGTATTGATTGACCTAATCCTAGATTGCAGTATTTTCAGTGATGTGGAGGTAAAGTCAGGACATTGGTTACAGCTCGCCTTTTGTGCAGAAAATTAAAAAAAGAAAAAAAAATTACTTTTCTTTGGGAAAATTGGCAAATGAATTGCAAAATTTAGGTCAAAAATAGCTGAATTGGTAAGCTATTTCAATTTGTATAGTTTTGTCCCAATTTTTTGCAAATCCCAGGTCAATTCTACACAATTCTTAGTTCACTGGATGAATCTCCTAAGTGATAGAATATCATAGTTTGTGCCCATATCTACCTTAATTGTGTTTAATGCTAAATTGTTGTTAATGTTTTTAATATTATTTTCACGCTATTTTAACTCCCTTAATATCATGAAGAGTTTTCCTTGACTAGCGCAATTCTACATGCAGGAGGGACTTTCTCCGAATCACTTGAAAAAGGCCAAGCTAATGTTTTTCTACACTCGGTATCCAAGTTCAAACATGCTAAAGACCTACTTCTCTGATGTAAAGGTAAGACCTTTAATATATATTTTATAATATTTTATGTTTAACTCTGTGCAACTGATATCAACAATAGCATAGTCAGTTCTGTGATTGTCACTTCCGTATGCATTTTGCTGACTTTTCTAAAAAAAAATCCTGCTAATTTATATTTGCTTTGCTAAAATATATAAAGTCTTACTGCAATTAATCATCCCTTTAAATGTCAGTCTGTCTACATCACACAGATTATGTAAAGGTAGGCCCCCAAGAGCCCTTGCACTGCAATTAGATCCTTCGACCCAGTGCTTAAATTTTAGACAATACTCAAAATGATGTACTGTGTTCTGCTTTTTTTTTATGTTAACTTATTTTTGTCTCTGACAACACAATTCTATTTTATAACGTGTACTTGCAAGCAAAACAGAGCAGAACAGATAAAAGCATAACGTTGCTAAGTGATCGTACTTTATAGATCAGTATGCTTACAAAAAAAAAATCAGTTGGACAAGAAAACTGTATAGTATTGTTTATTTTAATCCCCATTGAGACACATGATCATGCTTTTAATTGTATCATCATTGCCATTTTCCCATACTTATGCTTACATAAGCAAACTGTAGAATCTCGCCCCTTTCTTTCTAAAGACAGCACATTGACATTCTGTGTGCACTAGTTGCTTAAAAACAAAAGTGATGATTGTCCCTTATTTACAACTTAATTTGTTGTTGATGCCGTCTACGCAGAGCATAAGGAGAATGAATAAAGTGACAGATTCAGGCCACATTATTCAAATGAGGATATGAAAGCTTTTGATTTACAGCTGAATTCTCCCTCATTCTACACAATATTAGGCCCTCCTGTTTGTTATTTTTTTTTTGTTTTGTTTTGTTTTTGACTTTTTTTTTCTTTTGTTCCTTTTTTTAAAATTTGTTTTTTTTTGTTTTTTTTACACACAAGTAATTATTTCTTCACATCGACTTGATTCTGTTTTAATACATTTAAAGTTTTGTACATCACGGCTGAGGATTTTAATTATGCCAGGGATACACAGCGTATCATTATCTGTACAAGTCAGTAAACATGGAATTATTTAAAAACAAACAACCATTTGAGTTGAAGATGCAGAGCATTCGTTAAAACGGTTGAACGTTTGAGGGATGATTATAAGACCCCTAGTGTTGTATCGTCTAATCAATACTGCATGTTAAAGAGTTTATATGCAGCTTTTGAAATGGAACACAAATAGCACTTCATGTTAATAAGTCTCATTTTTGTTTGGCCGCTGGCAAAAAAAATATAAAAAGGATCACAAGTAACACCTGCAGGTCACGTGTCTCGTCTTTAATAGAACAATGAATAGTTCACCCTGGTGTTGTAATTGCTGGCTTCTGATATGATATCTTACCTTTTTTAAAATAGTTATAATTGTTTGCTAATTTCTGAGTAAACGAGATACATATACAGATCAGTGCCAACATAACATTTAAATTTTAGATCTTCGTGGCTACATAAAACCCCCTCTCTTAAGTTATAAGACAGGGCTTTAGTTAGTACGGTCTGCTTAGTCCACCACTTCACCATGCACAATAATGTTGATGGTTCGTAACCTCGGTTTATAGAAGACAAAATGGTATGATAGTTTGATACAGTGGTGGGATAAGCACGATGGTGCCACGTAGTAAGACTTAATCCCTATTTGTGCCAATTTATTTTATTATATTTATTATTAATATATTGGTTTTATAGCGCCACCATCTTCTGCTGCTTTGGTATTTAGAAATCAGGTGGGGGGAAGCATAAACAAAAACCTTAGACCTTTTGTCCTAATTTTGTGATGTTGCAAGCCAGTGATTTTTTACACAGTTAGAAGAACGCGTGTTAGCTATGTAAACAGCCACTGTTTTAAATAAGCTAGATTTTTTTCCATAGAGAAAATGGGATTTTTTTTTTCTTTTAATATTAAAGGACCAATGCTCAAATCAGTTGGTGGATGTGGTAGATGTACAGAAAAAGTATCTGGCTCATACATCAGTAGGACTCATACAATTCTGAATACAAAACAGAGACAGTGGCGATAAAATCAATTACAAAAAAATGTGGTGCAAGATGCGGCAATTAGAACTTGATTTAGATGTGGGTGTAATTGCAATTTTGTTGATTTTAGTAGCCCTGCAAACTGTTGCCAGAAATTGGATGTGTGTGGATCTTAACCCCTTCACTTTCAAGCACGTTAAAATATTACTGTAATATATATTTAAAACATTGGATGCATATACATGTAGAATCAAAGAGCATTGTTGCACACACACACACACACAAACATATATATATATAGTTGCAGAGAAACGTAAATTATGTAAATTTGCACAATTTTATTTGTTTTGTTCTTTTCATTTATTTCTTCATCCTTTGCAGAAATTGTAAGAGGATAAAATGTTTCAGAGACCATATGGTATATGGACATGGTCTGAAGTATTTGCATATGTGCAGAAATATTCTTTCTGTGTTACAGAAACATAAGAATAATCAGATACCCTGCTTATGGGTGGTAGTAAAGAACCAATAGAATGGAAAAATACCGTATGTACTCGAGTATAAGACAAGTTTTTCAGCACATTTTTTGTGCTGAAAAAGCACCACTCATCTTATACTTGAGTCAAGGTCTGTATTATGGCAACTTACATTGCCCTGCCTCATTACAAGCCCGGCGGTCCTGTTGGGTTCTGGCAGCGAGCTGTTACTTACCTTTACAGCAGCTCCTGTCAGCTCCGTTCTGCTCACAGTGTAAGTCTTGCGACACCCGCGGCCGTCAGAGCGTGGCAACGCTCCGCGCGGCACGCATACTGCGAAACTTACACTGTGAGCTGAACGGAGGTGAAGGGAGCTGACAGGAGCTGCTGTAAAGGTAAGTAACAGCTCGCTTCCAGCCCCCCAACTGAACAGCCAATGCCACTGGACCACCAGGGATTCACATAGCCCTCCTCCCTGGCCAGGCAACAAGCAGGGAGGGGAGACAAAAAAAAATAATAAATATTAAAATAATTTAAATAATAATATTAAAAAAAAAAATTATAATAATATTAAAAAAAATAATAATAATAAAAATGCCCTCCCCCCACCCAGTTTACACACACTATACAAACACACACACACTCTGCATCATATACACACAGAGTGTGTGTGTATATAATGCAGAGTGTGTGTTTGTATGAGTATGTGTATATAATGCAGTGTGTGTGTGTATATAATGCAGAGTGTGTGTTTGTATGAATGCAGTGTGTGTATATAATGCAGAGTGTGTGTTTGTATGAGTGTGTGTATATAATGCAGAGTGTGTGTTTGTATGAATGCAGTGTGTATATATAATGCAGAGTGTGTGTTTGTATGAGTGTGTGTGTATATAATGCAGAGTGTGTGTTTGTATGAGTGTGTGTGTATATAATGCAGTGTGTGTATATAATGAATGCAGAGTGTGTGTATATAATGCACACACTCTGCATTACATACACACACTGCATTATATACACACACTGCATTCATACAAACACACACTCTGCATTAAATGCACACACACTCATACAAACACATACTCTGCATTATATACACACACACTCATACAAACACACACTCTGCATTATATACACACACTCATACAAACACACACACACACTCTGCATTATATACACACACACTCATACAAACACATACTCTGCATTATATACACACACTCATACAAACACACACTCTGCATTATATACACACACTCATACAAACACACACACACTCTGAATTATATACACACACACTCATACAAACACACACACACTCTGCATTATATACACACACACTCATACATACAAACACACACTGCATTATATACACACACACTCATACAAACACACACCGCATTATATACACACACTGCATTCATACAAACACACACTCTGCATTATATACACACACACTGCATTATATACACATACTCATACAAACACACACTCTGCATTATATACACATACTCATACACACTGCATTATATACACACACACTGCATTATACACACACACACTGCATTATATACACACACTCATACACACTGCATTATATCCACACACACTGCATTATATACACATACTCATACAAACACACACTCTGCATTATATACACACACTGCATTCATACAAACACACACTGCATTCACACAAACACACACATTCTGCATTCATTATATACAAACACTACACACAAACACACACACACACTGCATTCATTATATACACACACTGTAAATAAATATTCAATTAATATAATTTTTTGGGGATCTAATTTTATTTAGAAATTTACCAGTAACTGCTGCATTTCCCACCCAAGTCTTATACTCGAGTCAATAAGTTTTCCCATTTTTTTGTGGTAAAGTTAGGGGCCTCGACTTATATTCGGGTCGTCTTATACTCGATTATATACGGTAATGTGCATATGTGGCACAATGCCCACATACAGAAGGCATAGTTTAAAGTAATTATTTGTATTATTCAAGGCTATGCCACCTGCCGTAGCAGCTTACGAAAATATTGTTCTGTATGATTGACATTTAATCTTTCAATCCTTCCTTCAACACCCCGGTGAATGCATTAAAAAGTTTGTAATGAAAACTTTCTTACTGTATGGGAGGAGGGAAGAGATGTATCCAGAACTGGCAGAGAAATATGTTTCTCTACTGTTTGAAATAGATTTGTGCAGCACTGTGGAAGGTAAGTGAGGCTTTATTGTATAAGTTTAGAATAAAGGAACACTGTAGGCATCAGAATCAGTACAGTTTTATGTAATTTTCTGCAGGCTAGTGCAAACTCTACCTTTTGTGTCAGCCACTAGAGGGACTTCCTGGTTGAGGTCTTGCAAAGATTGCATGACAGACAGTCAGTGTCTCCTCACTCTGCATTAAGACATTGAAATACTGCAATTCCATGAGGAGATGCTGATTGACACAGCACCTTGATTGCCACTCATGCATGTTAGCCTCTAAATGCTTCCCTATGGGGAAGCATTGGATTGGCTGAGATCATCAGTATTCAGGATCTAAGCCAGTGGAGGCAGAGCAACTGCGGCAGGACCAGCATATCAGGGTAAATAAGGTAAGTATATTTTATTTACTCATTACCCAATAATCTAAATAGACAGTAAAACACTCTAGCGTTAGGAATACATGTTTGTATTCCAAACCCTACAATGTTTCTTAAATATTGCTTTGTAATGGGGAAACTAAAATAAAACCTGTATTGTTAGTATAATTTTATAGTGTTAATCTGAAAAGTCTACTACATTCACAAACTGAGATTTAACATACTTAACTACAACTCTTCTTTAGAAATAACTGAGAATCAAAAGAGAGTTTTCGTTATATTAAATACAATAAGATGAGTTAATTTAGATTTTCCTAGTGACCAGTAAATGCCAAACTTGATTTCTAGAAATGTCTCATTCATTGTCAGACAGCTCGCTGATAAAGTGTTACTTTGTTCAATTACATATTGCCAAGATATAGCAGCAGCAGTCAAATAAGCAACATATATATATATTTGCAAATTGGTATTAAAATAAGCAACAATGTGTTCCTTTTTACTTTATATCTCTTACATACACATACTATTGATGCAGCTCAAAAAGGCACCGAAGAGTCTATTTTCGTGAATTAGATACCAGCCATTCATTAGACTATTTCCTGATCGTCACAAAATAGCAATTTTGTTCAGTTTATTATGCTTGTGTTCTATTGCGTTTGCCTCATCAATTTATTAAAAAGGGATAAGGCACAGAAACTGCACCGTTGATGCTATGATAAGATTATAAAAAGGCACCCTTAACTTAAAGCAGATGTCTGCTTTAAAAGCTTTATTAAGTTTGTATTCAGCTTAACAGATTTGATAGGGGCATGGCCACCTGTTTTTTTGTCAGCTGTGATTAGGACAGTAGTGTAGAAAGAAACAAACACTTAAATTTAGCACATGACCAAAATGATTAGTGCCTTTTATTGACTTATAAATTGCCCAAAATTGTGTCTGCAGTGCACACACACCTTGACATGATCCTCCATTGTGTCATACCCTATTTTATTTATGTTACTTTCACTAATAGCACAGTTCCACCTTCAGCAGGTGTGTTGATTAATTAAGCAAAAAAAAAAAATCACATTGGGGTCTATTCACAAAACAGTGCATTGAAAGCCCCCTTGCACCTTTCAGTAGAAAATAACTGCTTTTTTCCCCCTGATTCATTCAGTTGCTTTGGCCAAGTCTAGTGCATCGACCCACCTATTTTTTTGTTGTCTTCGCTTGTTATGAAATCTTCAGAGTTGTAAGACATTTTACTATTGCTAACTTCAGAGTACATACATTGTTGTAGAATACTAGAATTTGAAAAAGGTTTCCGTACTAGTATAAAAAAAACCCAGATTGCATCCTTTGTGTGGCAGCGCAAGTCCGTCTGCTGTTTGTTAGCAAAACATATGCTTGAATGTAAAATAATGCGTGCAATATGAAAGCAGTGTTGGAAGATCTTATTAAACATCTGAGCTAATAATGCTATTGACTGAAATATACCCATTTAATATATTAGTAATTAATGTACAACTGGACCTATAGATTCAGGTATTGGGGTATACCCAGAGGACAATACAGGTGTGTGTATATAGCAAGTATTGTATTGTATTTTGCAGGTATAGTGTCACTTCTGCAGTGCTTGCAACACTCTATAACATATGGATGCGATTGTGGGTTGCCATGCTAATAGGACACTATGTACAACGTAAATTACAAGTCATGATTTGGTGCCCTTAGATTTTATTCATGTGTGATATAGAAAAGCTGATTCAAATCGAAAACATTCAAAATAGCAAAAGATTTCACAGTTTTCATGTCATATATGTCAACTGCTTCTTTAATGTTGAGCTAGTTCAAGGAAAACTGTCCTAAAAAAGCATATATTTTATGCATATAATGTAATTGTTGGGGGGGAAATAAAGCATTTACAAAAACTTTCAGAATTATTTTCAAAACTTGATACAATTTTGCTTAGAAAACTGCAGAACTGTCAGTGCTAAGCATTGTCCAATCAAATGACTCTCATGGTTAGAGAAGTGGTTATCTAGGTTCAGGACCCGGTCAGAAAACCTTACCAGTAAGTGTCCTTGGGTAAGACACCTATCGATATATATATCTTCCTACCTCAAATCCTCAGAGAGTGTAAGCTCTTCTTCAATTACCCCTTTTCTATAATTGAGAAGCCTCTGTGTTGGAGCCACAAGTGCGCATGCGATCGTGGCTTCCTAATAAGCTTATGGAGAAAGTCAGATTGCCCAGTGCGCCTACACCCTCCATTAGGTCTTTGGAGCTATCGTAAGAAAATCTCCCTGGCTGTCTATTAAAAAAGCGTAACTTTCACTAACTGTTGCAATACGATACATAAAGCACTTTAACGAGTTTTGAACAACTAGACTAGAGGTTCTTTACCCTGGGTCTGCCCCCCAAAAATAGGTTTCCGTGTTATTTTATTATGCGCCCAATGAATGTAGCAGATTACATTTGGCACTCACCTGCATTTACTTGTAGACAGGTATAATTATTCATCAAGAAACCTTTGTGTATTTGCATGCTGAGCTTGATGGGATTAGAAATCAACTCCTGGATTTGCTCTTGGTCACTTACCTACCTAAAGACAAGATATATTATCTTAAAATGGCAGTGCGTAAAAAGGAACTTGACCTATAGATATATATATCATCAGTTAACCAGCTCTGAACAACCTGGTAGGTCTCAATGCCTTTCCTGCATTTTTCTTTTACCTTCTAAAAGAGGAACCTCTGTAAGATGCAGCAGCAGAGGAGATAACAGAATTGATTTCATCCTTGTGTTCCAATAATTGTGCAGCTCTAGAAAGGACATTGCTCTTTCCCTCATCTGATTTTGGCTTGTGGCTCTGCAGGTGTTATCACCTCAAGGGTCATGGCAGTCTTAAGAAGATTTAGAAGCTTTGAAAAATGTATCGTTTTTTTTATTTTTTTTATTACCAGTGTCAAGGCCAGTATAAAAAGCATACACTTAGGTTAACTTTGAATGCACAGAGTTTCAATAAAACTATTACTATGGGATGATCAAGGTTCTAAGAAAAAATGGTGATAGGTATTAAGTGCTAGAGTGTGAATTATTAGGTGGGGATTTTTAAAAATGTTTTTTAATGCACAACTATATAATAACTCACGTGACTTACTGCTCAAAACCAGTGGTACTAATACTAATATGTGGACTACCAGTGGTCACATTTACTTTCCCTGTGGTCCTCAGTCACAAACATAATGACACAGGCAGGTTTATTCACTAAACGGTGATTTGTCAGGAATTCAAAGTAAATAAAAGTTTTTTAGGTCAGAGTAGTCAATTTGGAAACATCCAGGTATGTTTTAAATTCTGGCTAAAATACGAGTCCTTAGAGAAAATGTTTGTGCAAGGCAGAACGTAGCAGCAGGCGAGAGCAATTTTCTTAATGAAATTCCCATGTTTATTTTTATCAATGTTAAAGTGCCTCTGTCTTCAGAATTGTAATGGAGGCATTTTATAAAGGATAAAATTCCATTTCGAATTAGCACTAGCCCAATTGCTTTCAGCAGAGAGATACAGACTATGGTGGTGCATTCTGTGTGTATTCATGACAGTGAATATGTAATCCCATAATGTCATATAATAAAATGCCTGCTAGGCATTATAGGATTCCTTACTTTGGCTGACATAAGCTCAATGGCAGTATTTAACTAGAAAGAGAGATAGATAGATAGATAGATAGGTAGGTAGGTAGATAGATAGATAGATAGATCAATAGATAGATAAATAGATAAGATTGGAAGAATAATTGTGCACATATTAACAGCAATAACAATATTAAAGGACCACTATAGTGCCAGGAAAGCATACTCGTTTTCCTGGCACTATAGTGCCCTGAGGGTGCCCCCACCCTCAGGGACCCCCTCCCGCCGGGCTCTGGGGGAGGAAGGGGTTAAACTTACCTCATCCTCCAGCGCCGGGCGGGGGCTCTCCTCCTCCCAGGCTGAATGTGCATGCGCGGCAGGAGCCGCGCGCGCATTCAGCCAGTCCATAGGAAAGCATTCACAATGCTTTCCTATGGACGCTGGCGTCTTCTCACTGTGAAAATCACAGTGAGAAGCGCGGAAGCCCTCTAGTGGCTGTCACTGAGACAGCCACTAGAGGCTGGATTAACCCATTTATAAACATAGCAGTTTCTCTGAAAAAAGGGTTAAACCTAGCTGGACCTGGCACCCAGACCACTTCATTAAGCTGAAGTGGTCTGGGTGCCTATAGTGGTCCTTTAACCAGCAAGTCTATGCACTATTTCATATAAACTCAATTTATTTTAAAGTGGCCAAATAATCTTTATATGTTATTATCTCAGCACACCCTGGGGTTTGTATATCCTAATATTATCAACACATTATCTCGTGAGGTAGAATGTTTTGTTTTTCGGCGAAGATGGATGTTGGAAGTTTTCATGTTGTGATTGTTGTTTTGTTTTTTTTTTGTTTTTTTTGTTTTTTTTTGATAATTCAGTTTATGGAGCTCCACTGGGTATAGTTAGCCTTGACCTTATTAGAGCTTAAAAGAAAGGCATAGAGGGGTCAAGCATAAAGAATCATTCCATACATTCATAGAGTGTACAGACTGTAATCTAAGCAGAATGAAGTATGGCCGGAGCAGATTATCCCCATCTATTAAAAATGTTCTTAAAGCAGATTTGTCAAATTCATTTATATTTATTTTTTCCTAAGAGAATAATTCTATTTGATCAAGTTATTAAATATCAACTACATCTATGTATTTATATGACTGCATGTACCATTTAAATATTACAAGAAATTAGTTGTGGGTGCAGCCATCTTGGAGATACATATTTGTTTTACCATTTGCAAACAGTATCTCACCTGTGTAAAATTCACAAGATGGCTACCGCAATCCTGTGATGATAATAGCCAATCACTTTGTGAGGGGCAGAGCAGAATGAAGCATTTGATGTCTTAATGATGTACTATGGCAGGGGGGGAAAAAACAACAGAAGGTCAGGAACAGTGAAACGATTCTAATAAGTTTAATTCAGAAAACAAACTGGGCAGAATTAAATGTATCTAGCCAAGATTTAGGCACTTTTGAGAAGTTGTATGATCATGGAATGAAAATGGCTACCAGCAGATCAACATTTTGGGAGTAGGTCTTTAATACTGTAACAGATGTATTATGCAGTTTCCTTCCTTAAATTATGTATTTCCCCCATGAAATTCAAGTTTGCACATTTGCATGGTCAGATAATGCCTTTAAGCAAGAATTGATGGCTTCCTCTATGGGGTGTGCTACAGTATGTATTAGATTTTCCACCCTGCTGTGTTTTGAATCTGTCCCTCTAATTAGAACCTATGGATTTTTCAGGCAACCTTGAACTGTGCAAAAGTCATTGTGGGACTGGCTTTGCCTTAGGGTCCTCAGTATGACATCCGTGTTGTAAAACATAAGTTAAGTATGGCCCTCAAGATCTGCCATTTGAGCAGTATTTGTGAGTCTCTGGATAACTAGTTAAGTGTATATGTGTGAGTACATGTTTTGTGTTCTTACCCTGTGTATTATATAATCCAGTTGATACACAGAAAGTATTATATGTACTATACATTCAGCTGCTAGTTTTGGTAATTATCGGTGTGTGGCTATAGACATAGATCCAGCTGGGATTTCACAGTTGTAAAAATCTGCAGTAGGCAGATCATATAATAACATATGTATCTGCATTTTAAAGGGACATTATAAGCACCAAAACAACTTTTGCTTAAGGAAGCTGTTTTAGTATATATATATATATATATATATATATATATATATATATATATATATATATATATATATATCATGCCCCTGCAATTCTTTGCCATGTATGAGGTAAATCACTTTGTTTATGCAGTCCTAGGCACACCTCCCTGCATGTGACCTACTCAGTCTCATAGACATTTCCTGTAAAGAGATGTCTAATGTTTAAACTTCCTTTTTGCACAGTGTGTTTTAAATTGGAATTGTTTTAATCTCTTACTCTGCCAATAGCCTGCTATAGGATGCAGTATCTTGTGTGTGATTAAATGTAATTAACAGAGCAGGAAATAAACATATCTAAAGTAAACACACTGTACTGATTGGATTGAAAATTAAACCATTTTTTCATGCCGGCTGTGTATGTCATAGCCGCGGGAGATGTGGCTAGGGCTGCATAAACTGAAACAAAAGTGATTTAACTCCTAAATGGCAGAGAATCCAGCTGTGAGACTGCAGGGGCTTGATCTATACACTAAAACTGCCTCATTAAGCTGAAGTTGTTTTGGTGCTTAGAGGAATTACTTTAGTGAGCATACCTATATAGCTAGCCATTGCCTACAACAAATGGTTTGTATCAAGGTAGAGGAGAGCTGATTTATGTATAAACTAAAATAAGAATATGGAACTTTAAAGGACATGGACATATCAAAGAACCCTTGCATCATTGAACTGTGCTGTTTAGAAACTCAGTTTATCCGATCTAGTTTTCACTATCACTCTGCTTATAGATTCTATTGGGACAGTAATTCAGAATTCTGATCTAATGAGGTCCAGAATCTAGTGTCTGCTTTCCAGAAAGCTTGGTGAGGAGAATCTGGACATCAGTAAAAGACTAGTTTGTTCAAACCTACATTCAGTACCTAGCATCAGACTATTTGGATAGTCAGCAATATTCAGCCATTCCGACATTTTCTTTACATTCCAAAATCTTGTCGCCTGCCTTTCCAGAGGACTGACAGATAATATGCAGTATTGTAAATTACAGACTTAATAACTGTCTGTAAATCTCAAGCTCTGAATCGGATTATTATTTCCAGTGCTAAAGAGAGTCTAGTGTAACCGTGGCTTCATAGAACTGTTTAAAAAAGTGATATTTGTTCCCACACAGCCCTCAAATCTATTTGTGGCCATTTTTGATAAAGGTGCCAGATGGATTTCTTTTCTTCATGCATTTTCTAAGACTAGTTGTGGAATATTTGGGAAGTTCGGTTCCCCTATGCTTATATTAAGGCAGTCCCAATGTCCCGTGGGAAGCATTAATCAGCGACTCTAACACTGTTTAGACACAGGGGCTGCTTTCTTGTAGTGATTAGTTTTTTTTGCACACTACAGATGTCTTTGCTTGTCTTAATAGAACAATAGCCTTTTCTTCCCGCTTTATCTAAAACGACAAAAGAGATAATAAACAATTAGGAAAATGAAACAAAAATGCTCACACTTTGCAAGCCTGAGGTAAAAACAAATAAAATAAACAGCTTAGAAAAAAAGATAAACAAAAAACAGATGCGATCATTTAAAATAAAAACAATTTATGTCACAAATTTAGGTTTTATAGTATCTTTATTGGTAAGTAAAACTGAATTATTTAATTAGAGTTGTATCTCTTAGTAAACTATGAATTTCAAACCACTGTAAAATTAGTTGAAAAAAGTTATGTAAGTCCTCCAACTGTGTAGCAAACTACTAATAACTGATTAAAATAAAAATAAAAAAATCAATTCACGTAGACTTGAACCTGAAGTGACACGAGACTTACTGCTGATTGGCTGTCGTGTAGTTCATTTGACAACAGACCTGGCCGTCAGCTGCAGTTGTTGTTGCAAATTGAGCTTTTGGTAATTTTAATGCATTTTGACTATTTGTGGATGGCACAATTCCAGTGTCCAGTATTGTCATAATGAAGATAAATGTTAAATTTATTTTATTAATTTGGCACTAACATGGAACTCTGTTGTAATCAGCAGCTTGTATTAATAGTCACTTATGTTCTTTGATAAAAAATTTTTATTTTAACTGATTATTATATTTAAATAGCGCCAACAAATTCCGTAGCGCTTTACAATGGGTGGACTAGCAAACATGTAATTGTAACCAGACAAGTTTGATGCACAGAAACAGAGGGGTTGAGGGCCCTGCTCAATGAGCTTACATACTAGAGGGAGTGAGGTAAAGTGACACAAAACGTAAGGGAAGTATTATGGAAGTAGATTGGTGGAATAGTATTCAATGAAGACTTAGTGTGGGGTTTTTCTTGGAGCCATGAACAGTTTAATTTATATGCTTTTGTGAAAAAGTGAGTTTTTAATGATTTTTTTGAAGGAGTGGAGATGGGGTGAGCGTCTAACGGAGAAGGGAAGGAAGTTCCACAGGTACGATGCAGCCCTAGAGAAGTCTTGGATACGAGTATCAGAGGTGGGAGTACAAACAGAGGATAGACGGTAGAGCATAGGGGCCTAGACGGGACATACTTGTGTATTAGGGAGGATAGATAGCTGGGAGTAGCATTATGTAGAGATTTGAAAGCAAGAACCAGAATTTTATATTGAGCCCTATATCTTACGGGAAGTCAATGAAGAGACTGACAGAGGGGTGAGGCATGATATCCAATATTAAGGAATCTTGGGAATAGTAGAATGCAACAGGAGCACTCCCAAAACGTCATGAATTAAAAGCGATGTAAAGGGTTAAATAACCCTTTATTTACTTACACAATTCTAGCTCCAAGGTCCTTCAGTATTGCGTCACAGTCTGCCTCTTCCAACGTCAGCTGATGGTGGGGTATGCACATTAGGCCTTTCACTTTGTTATCCTATTGGGTTTTCTCTGATGCTGGTCGCCTTCATGCAAAACGTGAGAAGGTCCACCGTCGTTTTATGGAGTCACACTCCGTGAAACTCCAGGAAATGCTTCTAGTGGCTGTCTGGTAGACAGCCATTAGAGGCAGCCTTAATTCTGCAATGTAAACATTGCAATTCTCTAAAACATTGCAGGACTAAGGGGAACATGAACAGTGCACCTAGACGACTTCAATGAGATGAAGTGGTCTGGGTGCCTATAGTGTCACTTTAAACAACAATATTCAACATTGGTCCTCTACCTATTTTAAAGGGACACTCTGGACACCAATACAACTTTAATGCATTTGATAGATTTTTACCACATTAATATCCTGTATTTTTTAGTTTTGGTACAAAATAAATAAATATTTTGCAGAATGCTGCACCATAATTCTGTCTCCTTAGCCACACACCCATAATGCCAAAAATACTTCCTTTTACATGTACACAGTCTCAGTCCCAATAGCACTGACTGAGCCAATTTTACTCCACAATCTGGCTGCAGGCAGTCAGAGAAACTATGAACACAGGTTACTGTGCAGGTGACTTTGTAGTTCAGATCATTCAGTACTGTCACTGGCTGAGCTGTGTACATACATTTGATAAGGAAGTATTTTTCTGAAGTGAGGGGGCGGGACTAAGGAGGCAGGCTTATGGTGCAGCATTCTACAAAACATTATTTTTTGTGTGCAAAAAACAAGATTTGAGCATGCAATAATAATGAAGTCAAAACCTATTGAATGCATTAAAATTGTATTGAGCCTGGAGTGTCCCTTTAAAACAACAATAACCTTGCAGAGGTGGAGAATGGTGTATGCTGTAGTCCAACAACCTCTGGGGGCAGCTTTAGACACCACTGCAGTTGGGCCTACTTTTTTGCATCTTATTTTTCTTTTACCCTTGTAAAATTATGCAGTGTTTACTTGCCAACTGCTGGTGTTACAGATGGCTGCCCTAAGCAGCTTTCTGCGGCAAGATGGGACTTTTAAGGTCATCAAAGCTTTAAACAACCCTCAAAGTCCTTACAGAAAGATCTATTTAACACGCAGTTGAGGAGAGTGTTATCCTTTGAGCTGTTACATTTTGTCTTTTTGCCTGATTCCATGTTTGTGGAATCTGTTACCTCTGCTCATTCCTTTGCCTGGCATATTCCATTCTAACAAAAAGCTTTAAATCTCTCTTTATGCCCCATTGCTAAATGATGGCGTGCGCACTTACTTTTCTAGTCCTCATTAGGTCATTCATAGCCATTCTAGAAAAGAAAAATACCCTTTCTATTTTTTTCTTTTCTTTTTTTTTTTTTTTATTCTCTACAATACTCTTGTCCATGTGAGACAATGTCTTGTAACAATGCATGGGCCTAATCTCCATGTCAAAGCAATTTTCATTCCCCAGTGCACAGCCTGCTATCATTTTGTAATGTTTTGTTTCTTATTCTAAGAGAATTAAAAAAGGAACAGTAAGCCGTCACGGGGGCCTGTAGTCCTTATCTCAGTGTCTGGAAATTTGGACAGTATTTTTTACGGCTTCGATAAAATGGAAAGAACTCCAAGTTCAGCAGATTGTAATGGGTTTAAGTCCTATTGAGATCGACGACCAGGAGATCAGATAAAACGGGTTCTTCAGTTGTCTTTTTAATCAGGTTCCCCGCAAGGCTGAATAGACACAGAACAGACACACAGAGCAAAAATATAATTCTTGGATAGGTTAAATACATGTTTGAACTCTTGCAAGCAGAAGCGATTTGATGATGACTTAATAATTTTCTGGTCAATTATCTGTAAGGACCCTTGCAACTGCATGGCAATTATGATGCAAGATGGCCTTTTGGGAGAAACACCAGTCTCCCTGCTTCTGTTTCCTTAGATTCTCTGTCATGAATTTCCATTCACTTCATTATCTTTGTTAACATAGAGACAACTTTCTGCGTAGTAATTACAGCCCCAATGCACACTTTAGCTGTCATCCTGATGGAGGTCTGCATGTTCTCATAGCCTATGTTTGATAAGTGTTCTTTGTTGATTTTTGATTAATGTACATCTTTCTGGAGCTCAGGGGAGTAAATACTTGTGATGACAAAAGGCAGAGGGACTTCATATCAGCTACAATGATATAAATCTATTGATTTATTGGCATTAGCTGGGCAGACATGGGTTCCATCAGTCCCTGCAAATTAAAGAGGCTGCCACTTTGAATTTGATTCCAGTCAATCGGAACATTGACAAAGTCCACTTCCATTTTTTTCTTTACAGACTTAGACTTATTTTTAAAAATGTTGGGGCGGTTTGCCTTCATTGTTCACTTGCTTTAAATCAAAGCTAGTATCACGTCATCTGGTCAGCATTCTCAAGTATGTCTAACTATTTCACAAAACTTAGGATATCTTATTAAATATAGATTTTTATTTTCTCTTTTGAAATAAAGAGTACCTGCCCTGATTTGTCTTGTTTCTGAAATAATTCTCTCTCTGAAATAATTCTCTCTGCAGACCCACTAAAGCTTCACTTAATCTGTTTTAGAACTGCATGGTCATTATAGTATTGCATTATTTAAGATTTGTTTTAATATCCTAATAGTTGTTTGCCTCATCTGTAAGATGAGAAAAGCATTGGTATAGTTGGTCCTTATGTTACTTCAGTGGATCACCGAATGTTGGCACAGGCAAATCACATTCATTAGGCCGTAGGCAACTACTCGCAAAAAAATTGTTTACTGTAGCAGCACTGCAATGGATTGGAGACCTATATGACAATTGAAAGAGTTTAATGACAGTTCTTTGCAGAATTAGTTTTGTTAGATATTAAATAATGATTGAAGAACGCTCTGCCAAGCTAATGCATTTTATGTCTTTGTCAAAAATGATTAAGAACCCCTGGTCTAGTGTCTCAGGAAAATTGTGTCACTCTTCTAACATTCCCTGAATAAATCAATTTTAAAGCTATCTGTGCTCATTTTAATATTAGAAATTTTAGCCATTGGTCATACATTAAAATAGCGCAAGGAGGGTGTATCTAATAAACCTTAGTGTAACCTGTATCATTGGACCCTGCCTTAAGCTTGTGATGAACGCGGCTCATTTAAGCCAAGTAAAGGATATGTATAGGGTTGGCACATATTGACATGACAACATAACTTTTCAGTATATTAGGCACTGGGTTTGGTAGCTACACTTTTTAATTCAGGTGCGATGTCAAGAAATAGATTGCTACTGTGTTTTGCCTTAGAGCAGTAGTTCCAAAACTAGTCCTCGTGCCTCCTTCCCCCCAAAAGCCAGTCCAGGATTTAGGAATTACTCAGTTGTGTCTAAGGTGCTTTTTTTTCTAAAAACCCCTTAGACAACTGGGTAATTCCTAAATCCTGCACTGGTAGGTGGGCGTGAGGACTGGTTTGGGGACCACTGCTCAGAAGTAGTCCAGCTCTCTTTTCTAGTAAGTACCACCCATGCATGATGTGATGCAACAACATTGGCAAATGTTTTGTTCCAATAGTTGCATCTACTTCTCTGTAATCTTATCAAATGCCCAGTGTCACAAATCAGATAACAAGATATACCACTTGCTGCCTAGAACATACTCTTCCTCAAACACTCAAAAAGGCAGTTATTATTACAAACTTGATATGGGAGGGGAAAAAAAAACACACTAGGTAGAGTTTCGTGGCTCTCGCAGTAGTATAGAATGTTGCTGTAAATGCAAGTTCCATTCAGTAAACGCCTATGTATTTAAATGAAAGTGCCTATATTCCCCTTTTCCCATTTTAACACTGCCCATATAGCACAATGTTTTTGACTGTTGTTGAAAAGTATATGGCACATGTCTTTTGGTTGGAAGAGTGTGGAGCTTTTCTATGTTTTTCCCTTAGGCTGCTGGTCCATGTGTCATCCGCACTCCGGAGATGTTTGTTGTTACCCCCCTGCACAGCACAGTAAAATGGGGTTACAAAAAAATGGCAAGCAATGACTGTCATCCAAAAAAAGAGGTACTGAGGGCTTTTCTTGTGAGTGCTAGAGGACCAGTAGTGTTATCATAGTCATTTATTTATAAACGTATATATCGCCACCATCCACCATTCTAAAATGTAAATTGACAGTGAATGTTCTTGACCTGGAGTAATCCAGCAAACTATGCTTGCAGTGAGTGTGCCAGCGGAACTTACATCACATATTTCTTTAACAGTAAAGTCACAACACAACACAGTAATTATGTATCATTTTAGAAGTATTGAGGTTTTTTATACTCTCTTATCTATATTTGACTATGGCAAGGAAGCATTCTGACCCAAATCCTCAAACACAACAAACACAAAGATGGCTTTATCAAATAACGGAATGAAAAGCTATACTGACATCAATACATTGTTTCACCTTTATAGTACACTTTATAGGTTTTTTCTGTTGTTTATTTTTTAATAATTATTATTACAGAGTGATATTGAGAATAGCTAAATAAGTCTTCTGTCCTAGTCTCTGATCATTTAAATGTGTTTTTTGTTTTTTAAACTTTTTGTATAATTACCCAAAATTATTCTCATGGGACTAGACATGGTGTTTTTTTTACCAATAGTAATATAATTTATCACACAATAAATTCTGCATTAGACTTTTTTCCAGTGACAAATAACTTATCAACCTGATCTAGTAAGGCATTGCTGCTACAATAAACAATATATCAATAACTCAGTAGCCTAGAGTTTGATGAATATGATGTGCCTGTTTCAAGCATTGGGAACCCACTAAAATTGTCACAGTCCAGACCCAGGGGCTGAGAACCACTAGTTTAAAGTGAATCTGTTATGAATAATTTAACTTACAATGGTTCCCATATACATTGAATACACCTTATATCACATAGACACATTTTCCTCCAGTCCAGCTCCGGTTTATGGGTGTTACTCTTCATGTAACACCCACCTCCTGGCCGTCCTCTGCTCCGCCTGCGGTCTACCTCTGTTTTTCCTTGATTTGCCCTTCTTGGGACACATCCCGAAGTAGGGCAAATCTCATCAGTGATGTCGGTGTAGTGGCTTTGTTGCCAACATCGAAACTGAGTTACATTACGTCACTCAATTCCTTTACCCACCAGCCAGTGCTAGAAGCACTAGGAGGCTAGGGAGTTTCCATAGCAACCAAAGAGCCTTTGCTGTGGCTGATATGGGACCTGAGCAGAGGACATCCAATGGGAGGTCTTTTCTGCTTTCCCATGCTATTGACTGACAGCTGGGAGAAAAATCTATTTTTAAAAAGTTTTTTCTCCGAATATATAATCTATATAAAGTCTTATGCTCAATCGAATGAGCATCAGACTTTATACCGATTGTTTGGGGCACGACAGGTGCCATTTAAAACAAACTGAATCTCTATTACACAATGCAGCCAATGGCAGTTTTTAACCATAAAGAAAAATATGACCTGATCTAAAGGTTAAACTCACCTGCCACAAGGCAAAACCAACCTCTTAGGTGACAATTCAGTAAGACTCACCTATGAGGTTTTTCCTTGACGTGGCAGGTGAATTTCCCCTTAATGCCCATTGGAGTGATTCTAAACAACCTCCTGTTGTCTAAATGTGCGTAGGAATTTTGCGTAGTGCGCAAGTAACTTTTTCATTGTTTTTTTATTGTATGAATAGGGGCTGATGTGTACTATACTATAGTCGTTGCTGCAGCCCAGGAGTAGTGGGAGTTTGAGCGCAGGCCTTAATTTTTAATGGTTGTATTTGCTTTTGCATTACACAGCCATGTTACCCTATGCAGGGTAATAAGTGTGTAGGGGTTTAGAGAAATACCTCTCTCTGTCTCATTAGAAATTCTGCGTTTTAGTTTAAGGTAAATTGTTAGTGTTTGACTCACCTCCAAGGTTTTGTCTTGACGTGGCAGGTAACCCATTTAACCCCTTAAGGACACATGATGGAAATATTCCGTCATGATTCCCTTTTATTCCAGAAGTTGTGTCCTTAAGGGGTTAATAGCCTTTAATGCCCATTGGAGCCATACTAAACAACCTCCAGTTATTTAAATGTGCATAGCAATCTGGGATAGTGGGCAAATAACTTTTCCTTTGGTTTTTATTGTATGTATAGGGTTGATGTGTACTATAGTCATTGCTGCCGCCCAGGATTAGTGGGAGTTGGAGCACAGGGCTTAATTTTGTATGCTAGGATTCATTTAAGAGTAGTGTTGTTTTGTGCTGTGGAGATCATGCTCTATAAAAATTTCATCTCAGGAGAGGAGAATACAGTAATGATTGACACATTTTTAGATTAGAGGACCTAGTGGCTTTTCCTTGCACATTTTAAAAAGTCTCAGCTACTCTGCTGTCATAGGTCTAGTAACAGGGGCTCTATATTACTGTTTCATAGTTAACACTGTAATAGGATGGACAATGCCATATGCTTGCCCGTGTCACTGATACACATATAAATGTGATAGGGGTGCATTGTTTTTCACAAGTACGGTATTAGCAGAGCTTAGATCCTAAAATAGTAAATCCAAATATCTCCTGCTCTCATTCCTGTATTTTACTAGTTATTTAATTGGATTTTGTGTTTGATTTAGTTTCATATTCCATTCCATATATAAGTTAGATCCCCACATACATATACTGGGATGGACGGATGGCATGGTTTGGAGTGGATGATAAATATATTTTTTATAATGGAAAATAATGAGGTCCTAATAACTGAACAGTTTTTAATATGCCAAATGATATAGTTCAGCAGACAGTAGCAGTTTGTGTAATATGTTACATGTGTATCTAAAGTAGCCAATGGGAGTACATCCAGCAATTACCCACTTAAAAACCATTGTGAGTTCTGCCAGTCAGACTGACTTTAAACATATAAAGCTTCTGCTTCTGTAATTATTTGTTCCTGCGATGTCACTAACTTAAACCAGCAAATCCTAAAATGTGGGAACTTTGTATTTGTATTGTATTGTCCTTTTATGTTACAAATAGGCTTAAGTCATAACATTGTGTTCAACAGTATTTGTAGAACAGATAACACTATAGTTTGAGATGGGGCTGCAGAAAGGGTGGTTTTATGGGGCAATGAACAATTATAAAAAAAAATACTAAAAAAGTAAAACTAATTGTACCTAATCTGTGACGGCCTTTGATTGAAAATGAAATACATAAAATTAAACATAGGTCTACAAATGTGGAAAAATTCTACTACTTTAACATTACATTAACCAGTTAGGGTTATTTAATGAACTAAGTATTGTATATTTTTACCTCCACCATCTCCTGAGCTGTGAAACAAATGTTTAAATATGGAGGTCCAGAGGATCCCCTGTACTCTTCACCCCCTATTCCAGTGTGGCATGAATGAGAAGTTAATATTACAGCAGGTAGACAAATTTGAGGACCTGCTTAATGGTCACACCCTACCATGATATGTAGTAACCGAGTAGCTTAACTCGGTTCCTTTTTTGGGGTCTAAAACACCTTTGTTGCATTATGGTCCACCCCTTCCTCTAAACATATGGAGTTAGAGATTAATATATAAATAGGAGATTCAGTTGGACCCTTTGTCCACCATGAGGCAACCTAGGACTCCTTCCAATGCCATGTCAGGATTAAATAACTCCTGACCTAATAATATAACTCATTTCACATAATATAACTTCTGATTAAGGCCTCTGCTGTAGTTTGCTGCAAGGACAATTGGATTGGTTGGGTTGATCCAACCAATCAAATTGCTGTTCTGCTCTGCACCGTAGCAAATATGGGTTATAGTAAGGACACACTTAGGACCCAGTGGGGATGTTCTTAAGGTAGAGATGTTCCTTCTGATTGATCCACAGTTTTGCTTTTTACACGTAACCCTCAAAGTGTTACTAAAACCCCTTGTTAATGCCTGGTTTTTAGTGTAGGTGTTGATTGATGTACGCAGGATGTAATTACTACAGATATAGACAGTGTGGACCGATCAGTGCATAGTCCCAATGCAAAATATGTTCCCCTCTGTTTATAAGTGGTTAATTTTTTTTCTCAAGTTTAATCTATATTACCAATAACCATTTCATATTCCATTTGTGTTTATTTTTTTTCTAATCTTTTACAGTTCAACAGATGCATTACCTCCCAGCTCATCAAGTGGTTTAGCAATTTCCGCGAGTTTTACTACATTCAGATGGAAAAGTATGCTCGGCAAGCCATTAATGATGGGGTCACAAGTACTGAAGAACTGTGTATAACACGAGACTGTGAGCTGTACAGAGCCTTGAATATGCACTACAATAAAGCAAATGACTTTGAGGTACGTTCACCACATGCACATTGTGACAAAAAACACTAGGTTGCCCCTGAGCTCAAATTAAAATCTGAATTAAAATACCCCAAAGTACACATTTTTTACCTACGTTTTGTCATTTTGGATTTCGAAGTGATGCAATTTGGATTTTAGTGAATAGACATCAGAATGAATTATATTTAAATTATGTTTTGTTCAAAAAATGTTTAAGCATAAATTGGATTAAAATGATAATAAATTAAGATTAAAACACGGAGACAAGTTCGTATAAGAATGTAAAAGTTATAAGATGTGCCTGTTTACATTTTGTTGCTGCGAGAAGTGTGTCAATTTAGTGAAAGCCTCTAAGATGACAAAGGAGAAATAAATACAAGTTTGAGCCATTTTAAATCAACGCTGTTTTTAGCAATTCCGAATACAGTGGGCGTACAGGGAATGGTCACTGACCAGAATATCCACTTATAAATGATAGCAGCCCAATACAAGCTGTAAAGTTCTAACCTACTGGGACAATCAACGTAAACTTATAAATTACTAATTATTGTCTTTAAATGTTTTTATGAAGTTTCCTTTTTAGTACTATCTTAGTACCAAAGTTCTAATATTTATTAGTTATGGACTCTGAATAGGTGATTGTTGAGACTTTAAATGAGAACTGTAAGCACCATAACCACTGCATCTTATTATAATAGTTATGGTGCAGGAGACTTGGTTTACAGTTCCTTCTTTTTGTAGCTCACTGATCAGATTTTGATATATGAAATGGAAGTGAAAGCCCCATTTTCTGTGAAATTCCTCACAAATGGTATGGCAACAAGTGGACAGATGGTACACAAAGTGTCTTTGGTACAGAGTTTATGGTGCTGAGAGTGTCCTTTTTATAATTATGCACCAGGTAGTCTCCCATGTTTTGTCAGCAGTAACATAATAACGAGCAGTGAAATCTGTCACTTTAATTAATAGGGCCCTAAAAGGGATTCTCCAGTTCCAGGAAAACAAACCCGTTTCCCTGGCACAAGACAATCCTGGAGTGCCCCCCCTCCCGCCCCTCATCGCATGTTGTTGAAGGGGTTAAAACCCCTTCAGCTACTTACCTGAATCCAGCGCTGATGTCCCTTGGCACTAGGTCAGGCTCTGCCCACGCTACTGCCCCACCGGTGGGGGAGACCTAATGTGTATGCAACCATGAGGTCGTCCAGCGTCAGATAACGGACCAAAAGTCCATTACGAATCCAGAAGCGCCCCCAGTGGCTGTCTGTTAGACAGCCACAGAGGGCAGAATTAGAGCTGCAATGTAAAAAGTGCAAAAGGGACACCGCACCCAGACCACTTCAATTAGCTGAAGTGGTCTGGGTGCCTACGGTGTCCCTTAAACTAGAATTGTTTTTATACATATCAGTACTTTTTAATAAAACTAGCCATCTCATGGCAAAGCTTTGGACTAGAAATTTGTCCTTGGTGCTTCCCTGTCAATAGCATATAGAGCGTTTCACAAAGACTCCCGACAGTGACATTACCACTGAGAATCCGGTGGCCATAGGGGGCAGGGGAAGTTGAGATTACTCACCTGAACCTGTCGCTCATGGGGTGCCATCATCCTTCTAGCTCTGCTCCTCTTCAACTTCTGGTGCTTCAGCCAGAAGCATTGAGGTCTATGGGGGATTCCTAAAGACTGCAATATACTCTACATGCAGAGCCAATTCCTTGCAGCCATTACTGGTGACGGCTATCGGGATTGACTCTTAGACTCTGTCCTGAATCTAAGAAAGTCAGGAGGAGGAGAAAGTGACAAGAAAGTAAGTGCTGGTCAAGAAGGGAATGCTTCTTCATTAGGTGCAGAGGACATTTCTAAATTTTTGGGGATTAGAAAATATTTGAGCAGATTTTAGTACACTTTTTTTTTAAATTAATTATGTTTTGTGAATATGTTTTTGCTTGTTTTCCCGTATCATACACTGTTAAGAGTCATCCTATACATACACGATTGTTATAGGCTTGATTGTTCATGGTGGCTGCAAGTGCTGTCCTAATCATCTTTGTTCTCCTAAGCAGTTCTTTTGCAGATAGATAGATAGATACATAGATAGATAGATAGATAGATAGCTCAGTAGATAGATAGATAGATAGATAGATACATAGATACGTAGATAGATAGATATATACATAGATAGATAGATAGCTCAATAGATAGATAGATAGATAGATAGATAGCTCAATAGATAGATAGATACATAGATACGTAGATAGATAGATATATACATAGATAGATAGATAGCTCAATAGATAGATAGCTCAATAGATAGATAGATATTGCTGTATTTATATTCCTCTTGACACATCTATGTTGTGTCCCAAGTGGGTGCAGTAAAGTTTATTTTTAACACAGAATAATGTGTTGTTTTTATTTTACTTTTACATCGAGATAGACTAGAACCTTGGTTCCCTTTTCTTCTGCAGTTGGCAAGTTTGGTATCCATCAGGCATGTCCAATTCTGGTCAATAGTAGGCTGGAAATTCTGATGATATAATCCATCAAAGATAGGTTCAAGATTGTAAATGCCTATTCTATATCATTGTTGTCTAACTGGTGGCCTTCCTGCACCTCTCAATGTATATATGCAAGTGTTGCCTGATATAAAAAAAAAATTTGTATAAGGTGCCGCAGACTTTTTACAATTTTGTTTGCAATATCATTAATTTTTTTTTTTTTTTTTTTTAAACCTGCATTAAACCTTTGGTTGCTTGAGGTGATCATTGAGCAACCACTGGCACTTAAAGAGTTAAAGCTGAACAGCAGGTAATGATAAAAATCACAATAGGTAAAGATGAAACTGGATACAAAGGGTATTTAGCGAATTTAGCATTTGCCATATTTAGCATGCTAAGTGTCTTCCAGACACAGTGTGCTGATCTTTCAAGGTGATAAAGTAGACCTGTCATACGCAAATGTGTGGAGGGCAAAGTCAGTTTCGGGTAAAGTGCAAAACATGTGCAGTATGCCAACAGAATGGCCAGTATACACAAAGATTAAAATGTATCCTTACCTGAAGGTTGCATGATTGGGGGTCACAGTGCGATGCTGTGCCAGACATCGTAGGAGAATACAAAATGAGCCACTGCTATTGCAACTTGTTTATGCTCTTTGTGACTGTTTTTACCCCAGCGTGCTTATGAAATGTACTTGACTTTGACTTCCACTTGTAATACAGTTTAAGTGCTATAGGTGATTAAACAATGAACTCGATCCTATCATAAACCTTGTCAGTCACTTTCCCTCTTGCATGCCCCTGCTCCAAGCAGTTAAAAGCACAGTCAAATCTGATGCTTATGGCTTTGGCCCTGTCATTTTAACTGTACCCTTATTGTCAATACCCAGCTGTGCTTACAACACCATTATACAATGGTTTACATTGTTATCCCTTAATTATCCAAATTCCACATGAACTCGCCCTTGCTTAGATTTCCATGTTGACCCATGGGTTGGAAAAATATTGCTAAATAATTCAAAATGCAAGTGAAAGTTAAAAAGAGCAAATGCATAGGTCTCCTTAGCATACCATACCTTTCGAAACAGTGTTATGTGTCTATTTGGAAGATCCATGTGTCCCTTGGGGAGGAAGTCAGGGAACAATCTCTGTGCTGCTCTACATGCCATTGAGTAAGGTAGAGATGCAAAGCTGAATTATCAACGTTTCAGCAATTCGCTTAGATCTGTAACATCCTAAATTCAGTTTCCACAGGGTGTCACTGGGGTTCAGATGTATTAAAACAGAGAATAATTAAGAAGTATTAAAATAGTTCACTGAGACTAATATTCATATCCTATTTTAATAAACACAAGCAATTGGAAAATGTGGATCACCTACTGACATATGTTATGTTTTTGAACTATATTCCATAGTGAAACTTTTGTTGTAGAAATTGGTATTAAGCGGTTTATTTCAATTTGGCCAAAATGTCTGAGTTTTTTTTTTTTGTTTTTTTTTAAATATTCAGATTCCTTTGTAGTTATAAGACCTGATGAGTTGAAAAAGCTATATGTATTATGACAGAATAGGCTACGAGACAGTGCTTCAGGAAATATAGTTTATAAGAGAAGAGAAGCCCTAAAGATTCTTGGTCTCAATTCTGTTTACAGGCCTCCACTTATGGTGGGACAGTCCTGGTTTCAGGGTCCTTTCCGTCATCCCAGTTCCCTGGTGTCCACATCTGTGGACACCAAGGAACTGTCCCCAGACAGCACAGCACGAGCATATCATTGGACACGTGAGCCATGTGAAGCGGACAATAGGACCCTACATGGTCCTGAAGACTGGGGGCGGCCCATGTGGGTATTGCTAGTGACGTGAGTCACATCACTGGTGACACCCTCTCAGGGCCCCACCCACTTCATCCTAATTACCCAGTCAGCATTGTTGTGAGGTATGTGTTCAAGTTTGTTAAATTGTGCTAAATATGGTCATTGGCACATAATGTTTTTCTGGTAGAAAATGGTCCAGAAAGATTGCTAAATATGTTGTGTAACCCAGTGTTTCTCAACCTTTTACAAGGCGTACCTCTGCAGGTTTTAAAAATAAATCCCAAGTATCCCTGCCTCGAGAAAGTAATTTCAATTGATTTAGATGCCAAATGAAACATGTAGACACTGATATTTAAATTAATCCCATATTGAAGAACAAGCCTGATTAAAAATAGTAGATAATATTTACACACAGAGAAAGCTGACAAATATATATCACAAATATATAGCTTTGGCACAGAATATAGAAGACTAAATCAGAAAACAGAACCTAATTTTTTATGTGTTTGAAAATAAAAGTAATCCTCAATTTTTTCGATACTTTGGATTCCTGCGCAATTAATAGATACCTTGTATAATGCCTACATTATATCACCACTGCTCAAGCTATCCTTTTATCTCTCCATTAGGGTAAAAATTCAACAACAGGATATGTCACCAAGCACCAGTGTGGTTCTGTGGATACCAACCCTCCTTTATCTGTAACAATTTGGAATTTTGGAGGGAGTCAAGTACAAACTAGTGTAAATAAATGTAATTGAGTGCATTTGCTATAGATTTTCCCAGTGTTTGCAGATTGCCTAAATTATATGGTTTGGTAATTACTTACTGTATTTTAGACACCCTGAACTCACGTTGTCCCTATATATGCAAATATTGACTGGCAGGCAGAAAGCTTCCCTTTGCATCTAAAACCAACCAAGGTCCGTGTGAGACTGGCCTTGCCCCCAAACTTGTCCTTCTCAACCTCAAAGGACCCAATGCGTGGGTGGCCTCTGCAGATGTCGTCATCGTGCCAGAGACTGCCAGGGCGAGCTTGGAAAAGGCAATGCATGCACCTGTCGCCCCACAGGTGAGGAAGCTACCCAATTATGGAGAATTTGGCAGCAATTGGAGACTGCCCAACTCGCCTAATTAGACATTCACCAGTGCGCTCATTGTGAATGATGGCAGGGCCAGTCTGGGACTATTTTGAGGTTGAGAAACCAGGGTGTAACCAAACAATTGGTTTACTTTTTTTTTAGCTAATGCTTAGGAATCCTTTGGAATTAAATTTGAAATTTCAAGTATTTTGTGTTTTTTTGCTACATGGCAAATTGCTGCACAGTGAAAAATAACACATCTCCTTAACACGAAAACATTCCATATACATTGACACAAAATAAAACAGTTACAGAGTTATTGCTTTAATCCTAGTATATTGGGTTCTTAGAGCACTTTACAAAATTCCAATCCACTAAACTGTTCACATGTTTTTGAATTCATTGTGGAGACACTGCTGTCAATAACTTCTTGGGGGAAATAAGACAAAATGTGTGGCACACTTAAGTTCCACTTCTAACTGCTGTCAGTTGAGTTGCCACATCCAAATTGACCATTCTGAATATTAAAAAGAAAGTTGAAATTTGTCCTGAATAAAACCGGATTCATCTCCGTACACCCACGGGTGTAAATTCTATGTCGTTACCCAAGAATCATAAACACGAATTTGTATGAAGGGAAAAAAACATCTAAGTCTACTTCTGTAACAGGTAAGCAGTGTTCTGTGCACTTCGCAGTTTCCTCCTCCTACGGCCTGAGAGTTCAGATTTACGTATTATCGTAACATGACTGCAGGAAGACACTTTGTAGGAAAGCCTCCCATTATTCACCATAATTATCCCTTTATAACACTTCCTCTTTGTGCCATAGATGTTCGCCAGTGTAATAAAGTAGGCAAAGTGGTTTGTAATCTTTGTTTTAATGTCAGTCATTACATTTGTGGTTCCCTCTTGTCTGTTTGTCATTGGTTTCCATTGAAGATCTGTGAGAGCTACTTTAAATCTCCTTACTCAACATCTCTATTAGTCCTAGCATATCGTGACCTTTTTTCTACATCCTTAAAGAAAAAGATACAGTGTACCGTTGCTTTACTTTTCTTATTGTTCTTTGTTGAAACGAACAAAGCATTTGCTACAGTGGCTATAGCACATAATTATACAGCTTTCAATAACAGTGTCTTGGCACATATCAAAGTTCAGAAGAGCCTTTGGAAAAAAAAGATGTTTTGTGGCAGCCTAGGGAGGGTCTCATCTTTCCTTCAGAAAATAGTTCAAGGCTCTTCTGTCAAGCTTCCCTACTTAGAGCTTTTTCTCCTCCTGCTTCATAAAGTTTAAAGGGGATTCAGTGCAGTTCTGTGATCTATTGCCTTTGAAAGATTGTGCACAGAGAGGTCCTTTGACTTCAAGAGTTCACAGATTCATGTCTTTAGGTATCATATGTCTGACCTTATCAGTTACTCCATTTAATGTAGGAGAAAAGTCTAAACTCTTTGTGTTTGTCTGTTTTGCATCTGTGAAATGATTTGGTGAAAAGACCATCCTTTTTAATACGCCACAGAGAAGCCATTTCTGGCTGTAACCTACCCTGTGGATCTTTTTTTTTTTTTTTTTTTTAAAGTCCTTGTGTTTTCTCTATGGATGATTTCACATTCCAAATGGAATTATGCAATAACAGCCCCATACAAAACAAGACTTTCGCTTTATGCCTCCCCACCCCGATTCGACGTGTTAGCTATTTCAGTGACTGTCTCGCTGTCGCCAAAGAAGGACAGCCATTTAACAATCCCAGAGCTCGGCTAGCAACTCAGGGCAGCCAGCATGCTTTGCCTTGCTGTGACCTAGCCTTAGGGTCTCCGTAATTAATTGTCCTTCAGAGATGAGGAGAGTTCAAAGACAGTGTGTGCTGCCAATGTCCATTGTCTGAAATTCACATCGGCCTTCATTTCACAAAAGGTTATCAATAGGCGCAAGCGCAGGGTCCCTTTTGACAGCTGCCTGGGAAAAGAATAATTCGTTTTGGACATTTACAGATAGAGAAAAATAAATAGCTTCTGCACAATATATTAATATTACAAGCAGGAAAGCCTAACTGTTGTTGATTTATAAGATTTCAAGAAATCCACTTAGCCTCCAGAGTATTAAATAAGGAAGGAAAAGGGGGATAGGGGTGAAACCCATAACTATGCTAGAGCTAATCGTCTTACTTAGTTTACGTTTTGTGATTTTTGCTCTTTGAGATTTCATTTTTGACCCCATCTACCCAATTCTACCAATTGCTATGGTGGTAAAACGCTTGCTAGAAAGTGACATTGTCTAGAGAGCTTTATTTATTTATTTATTTTAATATACACAGTAAGACTTTAAAAAAATCTGCCACATTTTTCATTTGAAATTTTTGTTTTTCATTCAGTAATAATGCTGAACTTTGAACTGGCTTGAAATATTGTTATTACATATTATAAAACATCAACATACAACATATTGCTGTATGAGTTAGGGGGTGTAGACAGAACAAAATACTGACATATCAATAGGAAAGGAGTGGAGGTACGTAGAAACCTAATAAAAGCCACATCAGGAGGAACTGATTACTGGGTGCGACCATGAAGCATCTTTTATGAGGCACAGAGAAGGGCATTTTATGCAAATTAACTCAGTCTGAGTCTCTCAGAACGAATGTGCACAACTGCACAGTGAATTCCCTTTAATGGGAAATCAACCTCTGCAAGAGGAGTCACTAGAACTCTGTCATGATGGTGACTTATACTCCTAACTGTGAGTTCAAATGTCACTAGTCTATCAGAGTTATTCATTACAGCGATAATTGTCAGGAATTTCAAGTGTATTTGAAATGTTAGACCAAAATAGCTGAGCTGGGAAAGTTCTCCAAATCAGCAATACTTCTTTTTGGCTACTTTGGCCTTAAATGTGAAATTCACTTTAACCCTGTAAGATTTGTATATAATTGGTTAAGAGAGGGTTAAAAACTGGCCATGCTTTCTGCGTGTAATGTTAATATTAGAATGGTTTGTAAATTAAGTGCTGTTTTTCATTCCTGCCCATTTAAAAAAAAAAAAAAAACATCTTTTTATATAACTGGTTGGAATTGTAAGAGAGAACAGATTTAAAAACATAAAGTAAAATATTTAAAATATATTAAAATAATCTTCAAAAAATATGTAAAATATTACAGTAGTGTCAAACTTTGCAGGCCATTTCTTAAAGTTTTGTGTAATCATAATTAAAGTTCAGTTATAGGAAATATAGAACAGGCACCCCTGTATTAACAGAACATACAGGCACTTTTATGCTCGATTGATTAACCTCTTCATGGGAGGCCTTCATAACGGAATTTGCATAATTTCTAAACTAATTAAAGGGAAAAGGTTTTCATAGCTCAGTAATAAATAGCAATAATCATTTAGTAAAGTTTAGGGAAGGCTTATTATATAGATGTTATATATTACATAATCGTCAGTGTATTCAGTAAACTTTAAATAATGTAGAATTGAAAAATAAATAGGTAATAGAATTTTGCAGTTCATCTATATTCATGTAAATCGTGTGTTAATATATACTGCGTTGTATGTTTATTAATGTTGTGTAGCACATGGTTTAGTTAATTCTCCTTTACTGTGCTAACCATGGGGGGCAAGGGGGCATTTGCAATTCCATTTAGAAGATGCTCAAAAGAAAATGTCATGGTTGCATATAGCATTGAATAGGGCAATAAAAACACAGAGAGATGATATTTTGCAAATTAGCTGCTTATATTTCCACATAATACAAAGAGTTTCTAAGTGCGATGTCAGCAGAGTGTGTAAAATGTATTTTACCGAGAGGCGCTTGGAATGGTCCGTTAAACAGCAAACAGTCCCAATTGTTCATGCAACAGGTTCCCTGTACTTAAGAGGAAATTGCAGATAGCATTGTACATAGACACAGCTAATACAGTAATGCAAAAAAAGTCTCATAAAAAATTAAAGTTATTCTTATGAATCTTTAATTGGAAGCAATGAAAAAGGACACGGGTGAAGCCAAGTGTTTTGTTTCAAGGTTCTCTTCGGAGTTGTGGGCTATTGTTGTTTGCACTTTCTCGGGCTGACATTCACTTTAAAACTGACATCAGTCACTTATGACACAGACAGCTGCCCTGACACAAACACCTAACGCATTCAGGGAAAGCTGTCGTTAGGTAATAAGGCCCATTTAACACTTTCCAGATCGCCTCTGCCGTTTAACCCCTTCAGGACAAGGAGCTAAGGAAATCCTTTTCATAACATGACAATCTGTTGTTGTTGTTATTATTATTTAGAAAGCACCAACAAATTCTGAAGTGCTGTACAATAAATATCATAGCATAGTGTTATGTTATCTGTTAACCCCATCAGTTTACAAAGAATGTATGGAGGGTTACTTGTGAGTCAGACATTTTTTTTTCTCCAAAATCAGCCAGTGACACAGATTTCGAAATTTGGTTTGCAATTTACTATTTAGTGACTAAATAATAATCTACAGAGAAATCTATTTTGACTTAAAAACCTGCAACACATCCTTGGTTTAGTTAAAAAGCTGCGGGTTTATTTACTAAACGATGAATTGAAAAAATATACATAGGCCTAAATTACTGGTGGAGAACAAAGATCCAACTCAAAATTAAAGTAGCCAAGCAGTGACTATAGCAAAGTTAGTGTTTCCATTTTGTTTTTGGTAGTTTTTTTCCTGAATTAACTATTTTGGTCTAAATTTTGCAGTTCAGTTTCCATCTTACTACAATGAATAGTTCATGAACAAACTGTATTCAACCCCAGGAGGTTTTACTACTAAACAATATGATTAATTCAGTAAAGCTTTTTTTGTGTGTGGCGAATTAACTGAGAATTGCTAATTTGAGGTTAAAATAGGTGAGTTTGAGAAATGTTCCAGTTTTTCTGTTTTATCTCATAAATATTTCTCCAGTACTCTCAGTATATTAAATAAACCCCAATGAGTTGCAGGGGGGGGGCTAGAACAGAATTTAGGCTTAGAACAAGTAATGGCGGTATCAGAAGGGAAAAGGTCCGTACAGGCGCGTATTAACACAACATTAATGTAACAAGCCATTGGAATGTTTGCAGCGAAATGGATTGTTAGAAAAAAAACTATTTGTCTCTTTGTTGTATTTAAGAGTAGATACCAACAAGAAATTTATTTTTGTCCTCTATGTCCATGCCTGCAGTGGAATCCGGTAAAGAAAGCTCTCCCATTTCACCTTGTGTACAGTCTGGTCTGTGACACTGATTCTGATTATGTCATTATTTTACTCCTGGGGCCTTGGCACATCTGCAGAACCGATGCACATCTCCTTTGTTACCCTGGCATACGTCCCATATCACCAATGCTTCATTAGCCTTTGTGACTGCCTTCTTGCCAGACAAGAATGCCCAAATCTAAGCTCCTTTTGTGTATGCTTGTTCATTTATTCATCTTTGCATTTCTTGTGCTTTTTTATCTTCTTTCATTTCTAAAGAGCAGATGTCTGGGGCCCCTCTTCATATCTCCTGGAAGTCACATAAGGAGAAACAAAGTGACTCTTTAACCCCTGTGGGACCGTGGTGACCGACTATGACCTTTACCCTAGGTTTTACCCCTCGTCAACTTAACAAAAAACATTGTATATCTTTAGTGCATGTAAAATATATACAGTAAATCTGTGGTTAATATCATTATTTACGTCTTTGTTGCATGATAATATAGGCTGGTGTGGATGTCTGGGGCGTTTGGATTTTATTATTTCTTTGTTTGTTATTTTGTTGTGTTGGTTTTTTTGTTGTGTTTTGAAAGTAAATGAAAAGTTGAATGCTAAACGCATGACACTCGAGTCATTTGGGAATATATTTTTTTTCAGTCACATGCAAAAAATATTTTTTTCCAGAACTAGCCTTATCTCTTTAAAGTATGTTTGTCCAGCTTTGTACTAAATGTGGGCAGAATGTTTGAAGGCCACATAGCTTTGAAACCTTGGTTGCAACACCATGACCCCTTTAGAAACCTATTTTATCTAAAGGAGAAAACTCCAGTTCTGTTTGTCAAACTATCTGCCCAGTCGGTTTATCTTGTAATAGAATTACAGCTCACAGACTATTGATTTTGTTAAATTAATGTCTAAAGAATGCTACTGAATTTAGACTAACAACCCTACTTGTTTTGTGTCACACAAAGTTGTGTATAAAGGCATTGTTTATGGCCTGATAGTAATAGACACGAAACGCTTACTGAGAGCTACAGCTGGACTTTCAGTTTACTCGTAATAAAGATCACTTCTTCAATAATGCAAATATTGTCTGGGATAGGCCACATGTTCACATATATAAGCATTGTGTCTTTTCTCTTCCCAAAATTCCAAGAATAAGCATTATAAAAAGAACAACAGAATATTATGTTGACAAGTGACTGCAGAGAATTCTATGGGTCATTGTCGTGTTATTCAAGTTGAATGCATCTTAAGCGTTTGTCTATACCTCTACTTCTGTAGAAACATAGAATGTATGTAGTGCTTTACTATAGAGGCAGAATAATAGCAGGGAATGAATACACACAATGAGATATTATTCTGTAAGAGCAGAGGAAGACTTCCATTGCAAAGCCTGTATGTTTACAGTTTAAGTAGGTTGTGAGGTATGCGGTCTTGTTTGGGGTGAACTTCGTTGATGAGGTGGCAGTGAGTGTCTTCTGCATGTTTGCATGTCCACCCTTCTTCGGTGTCATCAGAGCAATGTCGGATATGAGGATTCTGCAACCAGACTTTAGAATTCTATGTAGTCACGTTAAGATTAGACTAGAAGCACTGAGAATCAGGGCCAAGCCTACAGTGTTCCGAGGCATACAGTCACGATTCAAGCGTGCTTGTCACTGTAGTGCCAATAAAATTGTCACGTAAGTGCATACATTGTTGTGAGTTAAGAACTATTCTTTAAAGAGAACCTGTAGTCCCAAAAATAATCGTTCTTGTTTTTTCACGACTAAAAGTTCCCTGCCAGTACAGTGACCTTTGTCTACCCACTTTTTAATCGAAAGAGCGAGCTTAACATATTTTACTGACCTTGGTTCCAGCGCCAAGTCGGCGTCATTGCAGCACATGCTTTGCCTCCTTTTTTCTCATCTAGTGTGCTGACATCCACCGTCTTCTCGTCCAATTCAGTGCTTCTCATAGAGAAGCATTATGAATAAGAAGCACATGCATCGCAAGCACCGTGCTCCCCTAATCAAATGCTCTCTATGAGAAGCATTGATTAAAGAACCAAGTCTAAATAGGTTATAGTGTAGGAAATGCTTCTAGTGGCTTTGAGCAAGAAAGACACTAGTGTTTAACCCATCAATGTTTACTGTTGCGGGGCTAAAGTTACAGGGCCACTGCCCCCAGACACTTTATGGAGATGAAGTGGTCTGGGTGCCTATTGTGGTACTTATATTATTTAGGTTTCACTGTGAGAGAATGTTTGGGGTTTTTTTGGACTTGTTATGAAGAGTCGTAGCTGACGTTCTCTCACAAGAGCTGAGTTAGATGGTCCCCTTTTTACCTGCGTGGGATAATATTAGGGCAATGTCTTGTGTTTTCCTATGTGGTATGAGAGCTTATGAGTGCCGTGAAAAATTGGCAGACTTTAGAGGGGAACTGTGAATGGAAAACACGTGTGGAATGCATTGTGGTCAAAAAAATGCAACATTGTTTTATATTTCCCATCATGCCTCTTATATACCAAAAAGACTGCTATTTTATGTAACAGGAAAGACCTAAGAATAATCCAGGACGCAGTTAAATAGTGACATTAGGTATAGTTTTCACTCTTTTTTTCAAAGGACTTTCCAGGTCCTCTGCTGGCAAGTCCAATAGAAGAAAACATTGTCCCAGCTATCAGTAGAAAGGTTTCTTCTCAGTCAATATTTACTTAACAAACAGCAGGGGTAGTTGAGTTTGTGCAGAGGCATCATGTGCGCAAACAGGTGAATGAATTCTCGGTAAAGGTACTTGAACTGTTTGTCTCCTTTCCTCTTTTTCTTTTCTTTTTTTTTTCTTCCTATATCATGTGTTTGCTTCATCTTCTATTGGAAACACTTTCCCAAATAATTATATATTAAATTCTTATGCCAATTTTTGGTTGATGTGCCTTATAAAAATAGGAACTTCGCGTTTTTTTTTTTTAATCTTAGTATTATGTCATTTTCTTTATGAGACCGGATTATGACAAAAGTTATTTTTATTTTTGTACAAACCATATCCTTTTATATTTATTCCTGGTACGATCGATCAAAACCAAAACACCTGGCCTTTTTTTCTTCAGAATAACACACACACACACACAGAAAAGTGATATAAATTTGGGTAACCTCCGTACACCTGAAACCAGTTATCATTCCAAAAAAATATATCTCCGATTTTTTCCCAAAAGGATATTATTATTTTTTTTGTTGGAATAATATTTCAAAAGTTACTTTGTAAGTAGATGGTTGCTAACAGTTCAAGACTGCCATTTGAAGGTTTTTTTCTTTATTGTTTTTTTTTTATTTTATTTTTTTTCATGCACATTTGCTTTGTTTCACATTTTGAGTTGTTTTGTTTCTTTATTTTTTGTTTTGTTGGTTTTTTTTTTTGTTTCGTGAATCAGAGTTGTAAAACCCATCTGAAATATTCATGCAGAATTGTCTGAGAAGCAGTTTCTGTTTTATTTACTGCACAGAAGAACAGCCTCAGTGGATTAGTTCTACAATACCCATAACAAAAGCACGACAGCTGATGCATGTGATGTTAGGAGGTGACAAAACGGTTAAAGTATGCTGTTGGCTAAAGGCAAGCAGTCAGCAGATGCAGACAAAAGGATTTGTGACAAGAATAACTCTCTCTCCAAGCGGAGCAGTCAAGTATCCAAAATACCAATACCCTTTTCTCCTTGACATTGTCTTCTACTTACTGTCAGCATTTTACTGTCCTTTTATAGTAAAGAAAACTAGATCTCGAAACATTTCTAGGCCACACCAATTGATTATCAGAGACCCTACTCAGTATTCCAGCTGTTGTGTCTGCGCGTGAATTTACATGTTGGTGAGCCTGATAATACGGCAACATGTATGCAAATAGATAACGTTGTTTGCTTGTGATATTAGTTTAATGAGTTGATTTTCTTGATGCACTTTTATCTTCTTAGAGTCTGCCTAAGCTGATAAGAACCAATGATATTTAGCACTGTCCTCAAAGGCAGGTTTATTGACTGAACTCAAACTTTCCTGAAATTAGTTGTGACTTCGGTTGTGTTGGAGAATTTTTCTGGATCAGCTATTTTGCCTCAATTTTTCCATTCGGATTTAATTTGCGTAAATTCAGAGTTTAGTCAATAACCTTATCTTTATATTTCCTGCCCATTTAGAATTTGCTGATCTATACAGCCTTGATTTTATTTTTAATGGGTGAGAAATCCACTTTAATGTAGGATATTTAAAGACTGGTTTGTTATGAGAGAGTTAGCTCCAGAAGGGGTTAAAGGAACAACGGTAAATCATGCAAATGGGCCTTCGAAATGTCTGTCAGGAACCTTTGTTGCTCAGCAATGAAATGGTTAATTAAATGGCTTTTGTCAGAAAGAGATTGGTAAGAATTTGTGATATCTATTGTGGGAAAGTGTTTTAAGAACAGAGGTTGTCATGGCTCCTTTTAGGAAATGCGTGGGGAAGGAAAATTAAAATACAACAGGGAAAAAGTTACAAGTTAAAACTTTTAATGTGATCACGAGCAAAGGTATTCACGAAATTGGGGAGAATTGGCAAAGGGATTGCAAGTTGTAGGCCAAAATAACTGAATTAAAAACATTCTCCAATTTAGCTATTTTTCTAACTCATTTGTGACCTAAAATCTCATATTCTGTTGTTGTTCCTCCACAATTCTTTGTTTAGTGAATAAATCCCAGTAATAGAAACGATGAAGAATTGCTACGTGCAATATTAGCATCCTTCATTATTTATTCCTGCACTCTTTGCTTACCAAACGTGAGCTGGACATTATAGGCATCTCATTTAATATGACTTACAAATCGTGATAACAAATTATATTGGCATAAACATGTTTGGAATGTTTAACCACGTTATTGCCGGCAAATTTGGAACTGAGATGGATGGGTTTTCAGCACCAAGTGGGTTAAGTAAGCTCTTCTCAATTGGGAAGTCGGCCTGTGACCTGTTAGACGATAATGCCTCAAGCAAAAGGCTTAGTGGATCTAAAAAAGATAATATCAAAACCTGTCTAAACAATGGCTGCGTTATTTGATAATACCAGAGTGTGGGCTAGCTGACGGCAAACAAACATGCATTTATTTTACAAGTGTTCAAAATGAGCTTGCTCTTCTTCAGAAAATAAGAGAGGCTGTCTTCTGTTTAACCTTTGTAATACCCCGTCCATTCTCTGTGACATTCAGTCAGCTGCCAAGAGTGCTTGGCAAAGCGGGGCCAGCGAGCGCGGTTCCAGTGACCGCTAACCTTGGTATGTCCTGACACTTATGATGAGTATCTGCAACACACAGAAGGCAGGCAGGCTGCTATGTCAGGCTTTTATTATGTACTGCAGATGCTGGGGACAGTCAGTTTAATAAAACAAATCAGCCTTGAAGGTAAAGCAAGTGAGGAGAGAGGAAAATCTTTGTTGCATGATTCAAATAATGCAAAAAAATTTGGAATTATAAATTAATCATCCCTGGAGAGAGCTAAATACTTGGACCCATTCACGTTCTGGGTTTTTATTTTTTCTTTGACATTCCCTACCATAAATAAATAAAATAATTACCCCAGAATTGCAAGGGTACAATGAAAACCAGAGTAATCTGAATTTGCCTTTCCTGGTTATTATTGTGTTGTGCTGTTGTGGCAATTGCACCCTTATATTTATAACATGTTTTCTTACATCAAAGTTCTATTTCAACTAAGGAAGCCAAATTGTCCTGTGTGTTCCATAATTAGCTAGTGTGTTATTTTCAAAGAGTGGAGGTGTTTTAGAATGAAACGTCGTATTTCTTTCACTATATACGTTGTCTGTAAGAGATTTTGCAAACTGACAAGTTGTTAGAATTGGAAAATATTGTTTCTCATAAAATTATTATTATTGCCATTTCTATAGCACCAACAGATTCCGTAGCGCTTTACAATATTATGAGAGGGGGGATTTAACTATAAATAGGACGATTACAAGAAAATTTACAGGAACGATAGGTTGAAGAGGACCCTGCTCAAACGATCTATAGGAGGTGGGGTATAAAACACATTAGGACAGGAAATAGCAATCAAATAAGGTGGGAGTGAAGCAGAGCTGGAGGAGAGAGTAAAGTGCTGCCCTTTAGGAGAGAGCAAGAGACAGGTATGTGAGGTAGAGGATACTCTGGGGTGCCAAAAGCTTTCCTAAAGAGATTGGTTTTAAGGCACTTCTTAAATGATTGACGACTATGGGAGAGTCTGATGGCGGTAGGCAGGCTATTCCATAGGAAGGGTACCCAGAAGCAACCTAAAGAAGATGTTTAGACTTTAAGATGTCATTTTGTCCTAGGTTAATATGACACCAAGTCAGGGACTTGTATACATCATGTTCAACCTTACGTTTTAGTACAAACAAAGATTAAGATTTCTAAGTCATGACAGCAGACTGATCAAGATGTTTTTCTTGAAACGAACAAATCAAGGCTATGCCATTTAATGGTCATGTTCTCATCTCTCTGCCAAGCTAAGGTAGATTAAGTTTGTTTTTCTGTTTTCCTGACATGACCTAATTGAAGATCCAGGGTATAACCTCTTAAGGACACATGACGGAAATATTCCGTCATGATTCCCTTTTATTCCAGAGGTTGTGTCCTTAAGGGGTTAAATATGTGTACTTAGAGACAGAGGGGAGAATTTGGAAGCAGAGATGCTGCTGCATTTTACAAGACTGAGAGGTTGATTTGTACAACAGGGTATGTTATTCAATTTTACTGATATTGCAAGCATATACTTTACACTTGCAAACTCTGCAGTATATTATTATAATGGATTATTTAAATGTTTGTATATATCTATATTTCTGTATATTCAATGAAATTTGTTAAAAGACAAAACATTATGGCTTCCAAAACAATCCTTATGTTTAAACTGACACTATAGTCACCAACTTAAGCTTAATGAAACAGTTTTGGTGTATAGATCATGCCCCTGCATTCTCACTACTCAATTCTCTGCCATTTAGGAGTTAAATCACTTTGTTTGTGAACCCTAGTCACACCTCCCTGCATGTGACTTGCACAGCCTTCCTAAACACTTCCTGTAAAGAGTAATCTACATTTTATCCTTCCTTTATTGCAAGCTCTGTTTATTTTAGATGTTCTTATCCCCTGCTATGTTAATAGCTTGCTAGACCCTGCAAGAGCCTTGTTTATGTGATTAAAGTTCAATTTACAGAGAAAGAGATACAATTGTTTAAGGTAAATTACATCTGATTAAAAGTGAAACCAGTTGTTTTCATGCAGGCTGTGTCAATCAGAGTCAAGGGAGGTGTGACAAGGGCTGCATAAACAGAAACAAAGTGATTTAACTCCTAAATGTCAACGAATTGAGCAGTAAAACCTGAGAGGCATGATCTATACACATAAACTGCTTCATTAAGCTAAAGTGGTTTAGGTGACTATAGTGTTCCTTTAATTGTATTCTCAATTATTTATATATTTTAAATAGAGAAACTCTTACCAACTATATAATATTACTAATGAGTATGGTCAGCCCTGATAAATTTTATGCATTAATACTTTATAGTGTTAATTAGGGGTACGAGCGGTTACACTAGTACTGTAACTTAGCTCCCCTCGTGCCAAAGTGAGTGAAAAACAAACAGTCTTATTCACTAAAGGGAGAATTCAAAGTTAATTTCAAATGTATGGTTAAAATACGCAAACAGGAAACTGTGCTTACAATTCGGCTATACTGACCTTACATTTCAAATTCAGTTTGAATTTTCATTTTAGTAAATAAGCCTCATATTTTTTTTTTTTTTATGGATACATTTTGGTCAAAAAAGTGAGTTGAAAAAAAATCTCCAGTTCACGCTAGTTTGAGATAATTTTTCAACTCAAGATTTGCAACTTGGTTCTAAATGTGCCACAAATCACTGTTTAGTTAATAAACACTTAAGACGAGAGTGAGCAACTTGTAAAGTCATCCTCTGGGTAGGAATAATTGATGTTGCTAGTCCCTGGCAGCTTTAGGTGTCATAGGTTGTTCATTTGTGCTTTAAGACATCACTGGGAAGCTTCACAACCTTCGGCACTCCAGATGTTGTGGTCTACATTTTCCACAATCCTCTTGCAGCCATAATGCTGGCAAGGCATCAGGGGAGATGTAGTCCCAAAAATCTGGAGTGCTGAACGTTGCCTACCCCTACTGTAGGGTACAATGTTATACAAAAGCTATTTGGCTGTTTTAGACCATGCAATTAAAATTATGCTTTACGATGGACCTGGGATTGCAGAACATACCTTTTGCCCTTTTTGCAGACCACAGCTGCCTTTGGGGTGATTGTTTTCTTGCCTTAGGCAAACAGACCAGAAAATGCACATGAACAACAACATTGCGCTCATGTTCATATTTAATAAATATTCATATTTAATAGCCATTCATAAACAATTCCCTGATGCTGGGAACATTTCTAAAGTCCAAATACTCGTCACATAATTACATACATAACAATCTGTGTGTGAAAAAATAATCACACCGCCGTAAATGCCTAATCAAAGAGAACAACAACTATATTCCGATTAAAAGAGCCTTAGTTCAGGGTTTCTCTCTGACAAACATTAGAAAGGTGATCTTTTATCTGTACTTGTCTGAAACCCTGAAAACGGAATTCTAACAGAAATCAGATCTTTTACAGTTTTAACTTCCTTCCCTACTCCTTTTTTCTCCGTTTTCAAAGATGAACATATGTCATTAAATATCTCTATAAATAGTTACTTTAAACGCATATGACAATAGATGTCTGCCATAATTAGAATATGCAGGTGTCTGGTAAGCCCTCTTCTTGCTAGGGAGAACAGTCTCAATCCTCTTTGAAGAATCATGGACTTGAAACTAAAAACTTTATTAATGCCATTGTCTCCTTGTATCAGCAGGTTCCGGAGAGATTCTTGGAAGTGGCTCAGATCACATTACGAGAGTTTTTCAATGCCATTATCGCAGGCAAAGATGTTGATCCTTCCTGGAAGAAGGCCATATACAAGGTCATCTGCAAGTTGGACAGCGAAGTCCCTGAAATCTTTCGATCCCCAAACTGCCTACAGGAGCTACTTCACGAGTAGACGATACAATTGCTGGATCTGAATGTACAAAACTGACATTTGCCCCTTAAATGCCCCAAATCTGTGAGTGTGCGTGATTTAAACTGTACATCCATGTGTATACATATATGCTATGCACATGTGTTATTCTGGAAACTCACGTATTTATTTTATGTTCTTTACCCATTCTTACAAGAGAATAGCATTACTGCATCAGCTTCCACTAAAATGCCTACTGAATGCCCTAAAGTCACAAACCACGAATGGAGAAGTATTTTTCAGGGTGCCGAGGGTATAACGTGTACAGAATTATTAGGGCATTTTTCAATGTTATGTGATGGAGAACAGAGTGACCTTTGTACTTTTACTTGTGTTAGACTGCTTTCCTAATAATCATTTCATTAAAACCACTTGATTTATTTATAAAATGTAACGAGCTACGAACTCCCAAGCACTTCTGAGTAATTCACATTTCCTCTGCAACTTAATGTGCCCTAGATACACCAACAACAAAACACAATGGTGCGCATGTAGTACAATTCAAATAATTCTGAGTGCCCAGTTGCTTTAATATTATGGAGAGAAAAAAATTGTGTCTGTTTAAAGATACTTTTTTTTTTTTTTTTTAAATCCTTAAAAGTGGTAGAATGCTCGAATGCCCAAACACTTAGGATAGACAACACCTTGTGGTGAGTTTGCTATCTTCAAATTAACCCTTTGAATTTTGAGCTTGGTGTGAAACATGAATGCCGCAATCATTTGGCATTGAAACTGTTAAATAAGCCAAAATGTCTATCCTGGATGGCATGAAAGCATTATAGAATAATTTAACTTGTTTCAGTAAATGGCACAATACATAGTTTATAGTGGATATAGCTCAACAGTTAAATATTTGTGAAATCAAGCACAGATAATGTGTATATACATATATATAAATGTGTATACACTTTTTTGCCTTTCCATTCTACAAAGAAGATCAGTTTTCAAACATACACTTTGTAGTTAATTCTAACGGTGGGAAAAAAAAGCACAGAACAGGAAGATTTCCCATGTAGGAATATTAAATGCCAGTAAGTTCCAACTGGAACATCAGTCTGTTTGAGATAAAGGTTGCACAAAAACTGATGCATCCTTCCTGCACGAGAACAGATGATGCACACAAAAAAAGACTAACCCTTTCAGTGCCAGGGAGAACTTGTACTGTGCACTGTAGGTCACTACATCTCTGGAACCTGTTTTAATTTTTAAACTGAAGGAGGACTTATTTTGCTGCTAGCCCCTGGAGCAGTACTGGGGGTGTATAGAAAATTGTTTATAGTTGTTTATATGCTCATAGAAAATCCTATTTAGGTAAACCATTAGAATCAAAGAATGTTGGTTCCCATTATTTGATCACAGAGCCTCTAGAATTGCTGGCACTGGTTGAACGTTTTTGTAAAAGACCATCTTGTTATGTTATTATTACAACATACCGCAAAAGGATATTATTTTAATGTTTGTGATGAGTAGCCTAACACCCTATATGTGCGTGAACTACATTTATCCTAGTTCTAGGCCACTTTAAAAGCTGGTTCGGTGTAATAGGAAGTGCAGTTCATGAACATCACAATCATACTGGGTGCTATGGTTAGATATCACTGATATATACACATATACATATATATAGGTTTGTTTTTTTGGTTTGTTTTATATTCAGAACTGTAGATGTGTTATGACACTACACAGTTTAAGTCAAATATGTTCAGCGATATTAAAGTGTATTCACTAAACTGGCAATTGTCGAGTATTAATAAGGAAAATCCAAATTTAAGATAAGAATTTGAGCTTCAGAAATAGTTGACTTTTTTTTCTGAAGTTGTTATAAAATGTGAAGTTACCATGTAAATTCTCTTGAACTCCAAGTTTAGTGAATAAACCCTTGTTATATTAACACGTAAAGACCAGCTTTAATTCTTTCGAGGTCCTCAACAGCTCTTAGTTATTTGATTTTGTAGCTCTTAAAACACTACTTTATATATAGACCATTACTTGACATGTTGACTGTTTTCCTTGAGTGACATAAGATGTTTCCCCCGAAATAGAAGCAATTTTTAATATTAACAACTACATCACATCCATCATCTGTATGGATTATTAAGTGGGGGGAAATATTTCTATTTGTTATTAAAAGAAGTGCTCTAGATTGCATTATACTGCATATTACATTTGAGAAAACCTTAAGGTGTGTTGGACTATACAAAGTGCATTTGGTGTGTGTATATATATATATATGCATATGGTAATTTCATAAGAAACTCTGTAAGGTATGGCTGAATCGTGTGAATACAATGTTTCAGCAGATCTTGTAAAATTTGCTAGTTTTATATTATAGCACAATACAATATTTCAGAAAAAAATAGATTTTTTTTTAAAAAGAAAAACCTTATTAAAGAGTAAACAGTTCTATTTCAAATACATGCATTTCTGTATTGCATTTTGCAACAAAGATTAATAAAAAAAAGTTTAGTGTACCAATGTCAAGTTTAATTATATAAATTGTAGCACCTTTCCAAAGTATCCTATTTACTACTTTGGGGCCAAATCACTGAATTGGAAATCATTTTCTACTGAACAGATTCTCAACAGATTTTTTTTTTTATTATTATTATTATTATTATTATTACTTTTATTTTATTTTTTTCCAGCTGTAGAGTTTGGGTTTAATTTGAGTTTTGATTGACTGTTTATAGGGCAGACCCCTCTGTGTGACAATGTGAATATTAAAGTATATCAGCAACTAATTAGCCAGGGCTTAGATAGTTAATCACAATAAGACACAGAAAAATCAATAACATAGATTTGTTTTTGCAGATCATCTAAAAAAGTCATAATCTGCAGCAATTTATATATCTCCTGTGAACGCCTTAAAATCTGCAATGCCAAATTTCGGCGTTACTTTCGCCATTTGTGTTCAGAAAAGCAGTCAGTTTTCTCTTCGTTAATACCTTATCATTCTTGGTTCCTTTGGTAGCAAACGTGTCAAGGATGTTATCACAACTAATGCTAGATAAACCGGCACAACTTTACGTTTACAGTCCTCTAAACTGAGCAAAAAATAAAACAAATTACCAACAATTCATTGTCTGCAATATTCAATTTAGAGATATTATTTATAACATAAATTATTGATATTTGATCAGATGTTAACACAAGGATCACCCTGCTTGTACCCAAGTGATGTGGTATTGAGGCTGAGGATGCAGTTCTATTACGAGCATAAAACAATCTAATGCAAGTTAAGCAGCTGCTATGTTTTATTCTTAGCTTGTTTAGCATCTAACTGTTTTATTTTAATGCACTGCTGCACTCCAGCATCTTGCTTTTTTTGTGTTAATGAGAAGCTGTAGTAAGAAATGTTTTGCCATATAATCACTATCAAAGCAAATTTTAAAAACAGTTAGAGTGAAAGCAGTTGGCTCAGAGAATATTTCCAAAATAGCTATTTGTGTCTAAAATCTTCAATTCACTTTGAATTCTCAGCAGTTCACACTTTAGTAAAAAAAAAAAAAAAACCCTGTCAGTTTCTGTGACTTAAAGAGAGCTAGTTCTGCTACTTCTTAATAGTTACATTGTATCTTAATTCAGTTTAGTTGTTTAATTTCAGTGGTGGAAACCTACAGTTAACGTAAGATGTAGTCCTATCCAACTGTAACTTAAACTAATTATTGGTTCCCTGATTTGTGGTATGTGGAACATATATCTTAAAGGGACACTGTAGACACCATAACCATTTCATCTGATTGGATTGGTTATAGTACCCTGCGTCCCCTGGCACTATCCCTCCATTCAGGGGTAATCCATTTTCAAGTAGTTCGACACTGAATGGGGCTCCATAGCCTCTCACAACTCCACACCCACTGTAGTTGTGGCTAAAGCAGAGATGACACACTTCCTTTTAGGCCACCTATTTATACCCAAATGGGCACTATGATAGGCTGAAGCACTTATGTGACACTCTCAGCCAATCACAGATGCCCATTGCTGCCGAGGCTAATGCTTCCCCTATCTGATAGGAACTCTCGTATAGCATTCAAATATTAAAAACGCTTTAACGCTGCATGGACAGATGGTGCCAGAGGACGCCAGACGCTTCTATAAGATTAAGCAATTACAGAGCCTACAGTCTTCCTTTAACTGTAGAAAGTAACTTGCCGTTTACCTATGGTTTTATTTTAATTGTACGTTTTCTGTCACTGCCTGCTGTGGTAGCCACTGGGAATAGCTCAATAAAATCTAAGTCGTGTCTTTTTTTTCAAAGGTTTAATTTACTAATTCAGGGGAAGACAACCTTAGGCACTCCAGAAGTTGTAGACTACGTGTCCTCTAATGCTGATGCAGCATTATGGATGTAAGACCATTATGGTAGATGTAGTTCACAACATCTGCAGTGCCAAAGGTTGCCTACCCCTGTACTAAAGAGTGAGTTGTAAAGAATTGCCAGGAATTGTAGGCCGAAATATTAAAACTGAAAACATGGAGAATTTTTCCAGTTAGCTATTTTGAGATAAAATTTTAGATTTATTTTGAATTCTTGGCAGTTCACAATTGAGCAAAATAATTTTGTGTGAGAGGGTGAATAGAGACCCCTTACGATATGTGACTTCATTTGAAGGTGTTGCGGAATATGTCAGTGATCAATTTGATTGTTGTAATGTCTATTTAAAAAGCCATTATGAAATCCCGAATTGTGGGTTAAGCAACTTTATACAGGATATACTTGCAACTGAAAGAGTGTGTCAGGAGTTGTAGGAGTTGAATTGTCACCCCGTGTGGATAGGATAAAGATAGCCTAACACATCCTTTTCAATGTCTGGTCTATTTTGTATGTAGTGTAGTGTAAAGAAAACTAGTTTAAAGAAAAACAAATCAGAGAGTAAAATTATTTTATTAAGAAAATTCATAGCTTGAGAGTTACATTTTAAACGGAAGCACTTTAACACAATCATTGTACACTATGAAAAGTTAATCACTCGATAGTGTTTAGTAACAATGAACGACTGATACATTATTACAAACCAACCTTTAAATATTCTATAGGAAAATGGAATGTCCCACTCAAATAAAAAAAAAAATGCAGGGCTGTATAGAGTTGTAATGGCAAAATTATCAGGACGCAATTAAATAACATCATAGATTCATTAGTGACTAAATAGTAATCCTTTATGTGGTGTGCTGTGGTATATGTTATCCGGTAAAGGTATCCCCTGTTCCCTTAAGGACACAACTTTTGGAATTAAATGGAATTGTGGCGGAATATTTCCGTCATGTGCCCTTAAGGGGTTAATAATATTATCACTTCCCATTTTGACTTTGAAGAGTGAAAAGGTATCTATGTCACTCCAGAGCTAACCTGATCTTTATTATTTCACTTCATTTACGACAAATTTTGCTGAGGGATACAAATGTATGCAAGTTATTATTGTCAGCAGAGTGCCTTAAAAAAAAACCTGCTGACTTTATATTATCCCGGATGAATCTGTGATGCCCTGTCATTATTTTCTATGGCTGACAGTGGATGTACACTTTAGTAACACAAAATCACAGTGTATAGAGATAATTGTTATTATTTTGTTAAAGGGGGACTCTAGGCACCATAACCACTTTATTACATTGGTGTTAGGACACTCCAACCACTTCAATTACATAAAGTGTTTATGGTGCCTAGAGTCTTCTCTTAAACAAGGAAAAGTGTATTTTTAACGGTGCCTGCAGAGCCAGATTAATTGTTCAGTTAGGCACTGGAGACACAGACAAGGCTTGCTTTATCAGTACTGCTCAGTTATGGCAGACAGGAAGTGATGTAATAGTGACCTGTCTTGTGAAAAATGAATCACCAAGACTTTAGCCTTGGCAATTAATGATTTACTAACAATTTACTTAACCTCTTAAAAACTCCATAGCTGGAAATAGCAGCCATTGCCCCTATCTTTGTGGTGCTTTACTGCTTAAACAAAAAAAATA